TGATAGTTTTCTGATGAGATATATGTTTCATCAATACTAGCAAGAAAGAACAAACCAACAAAACACCATGGACTAGTCCGAAGAGAAATATGTTATAAAAAACTTGATATATTTATCCTATCAAGATTCCACAATCTAGAAGTGATGAGTGCTAAAAGCTAATTGATCTACTGTGATTGATTTTCTATGTATTTTGATTGCAAACAATCCTTATAGAGAAATTAAAAAACGTTTTTAAAAATAACCTTTAAAATAAACTAGGAAAAATGATCCACACAACTACCAACTATGATTTTTTCCCATGACTTTGTTCAGAAAATGTTAATAATTTCAGTCTATAATCAAATTTTGGACAAATAAAGGTGATTTTCTTGCAAATACATATGACTGTAAAGTTTGATTGATTTCCTCACAATCTCTGCTTGTTTACTATGTTGGTCAGTCAACCTCTCATAAACTCTATCTAATATAACATGATTAACAACCACATTTTTAACTTTAAGTTGATCCTCTGAAACCAAGTATATATTTATAATCACTATTGTTGAATATAATGTTTACCACCGTTCATTTTATATGAGATATTTATCTTCACACAACATAGTGATGTGCTGTGAACATCACAGCACATCACTACGCTAATGGCATTAGTAATGCCATACTCCTTTGTCCAGTTGAAGTACAAATGGTCATCAAGTGAAGTAAATCATTGCAAATTTGTAGAATTGTATAATTAAAATCACTAACATAGAAAAAAATGAATGAGTTATAAGTCCAAATATAACATCATTGTTTTGATAGAAGTAACCACTGCTAATCATTATAGTAAGTTTTAAAAGCATGCAATCTTGCCAAAGCAAGACTATAATATAAAAAGTGAAAAGAGCCATTAAATATGAATTTAAAATAGTCTCAAATTAACGGTCAATTAAAATTTATTGAAATATTTAGTCCAAACTGTGAAATTAGATAAGAAAAATAATCAATGAATTAGAATGTTATATTCAAATACAAGAATAATTCTTATGAATATAATCATGTTTACAGCCTCACATAGATCTCAAAGATATATTCTCAGTCAATCACAAAAGGACAAGATAACAAAGACGTGGAGTAAATGCTGAAGGTGATGATAGTACACCTACACTTTCTAATAAAACTAACAAAGATGTATGTTTTTATGCCAATTTTTTCACACCATTAAAGTTTATTTTGTCTGATGATGCTACCAAAGACTCTCATGATCCTCTATGAAAGATCTTCAACCATAAATAAAATTAATAGATGAAGAAAAAACTGTGGAAAAAAAGTAGAAAGGTTGATAAAAAAAATTTGAAAAAAAATGTTAAGCAAATGCCACATGTAGCATTATTTATAAAGTAATATCATCTTCTTCACATACATCTTCACTAAAAAGTGGTTCTTACTTACTCTGAATAAAAATTCCTTGTTATTGATTTTAACACCTAAGATACATAGTTTTCTTTTAATACATTACTTTAAAAGACCTATATGAGAGAAAATGCTCTGAAAAAATCAAGTCCGATATTTAAACACCTTGATTAGACCAACTCATAGGATCATTACGAGTATCATCTACCAAAGAGCAAAACACACAATTAGACATATTTAAAGCAGTAGACGCAAAACTTTATAATGATTCTATGATGATCCAATCAAAAGAAAATTCTCTTAAAATAATCTTGCTTTCGAGTTACAAAAACAGATTATATAATAGTGACAGATTCATGTAAAAACTTATCGTGATGAAAAAGAGTCATAAAACATTTAAACTTTAGAATGATGCTTGAGAGTATTCTATCCGTATTTTGGAGCTCTCAATTAAAATTAAAGTCTGGTTGACATTGTTGAAAGTGTTATCAGCAAATTCCTCTGCGATAACACCCAATTTGGATAAACTCACATGTCTAACTATATTGATTCACAATCTCCAAATATGAGTACTCCATACTAATGTGAACAAAGGATCTGCTAGATGAATGATCCGTGATGCATGACTGCAGTGCAAGTAGCTGGTTGCGATGAGAATTCCTGGCAGTTGCAATTCATCTTTTATTGCAAGTTTCCTTCTTCTTGAAGATAAATTCATTGACATTTACAATCTAAGAACTAAATCTCTTGTTTTGCAATGTAATAAATCTACTACAATAAAACATTTTGAAGTCTCTAGATCATCATTTATTTCAATTCATTCTTTTTAATTGAACATTTTACCTAAGTCAATTGATGAAAAATAAGCAAGAAGTAACTTCTCAAGATGTAAAGTCTTTTCTTTTGCTAATATAGGTTGTCTTTCAACGTAAATCTTTTCCAATGGATGGATGTGTCAACGTTATCTAAGTGGTACTAGACATCCTCAATAGATGAAATCTACCAGCAACTCAACTATAATTTATGTACCAAAATGATAGATTACATCATGAGTGATAGCTAATTATCAATTCTAAATGGAAATCCTAGACTTTGCATTGAATCTGATATAATTTTCATCATGAAGTCGCCTCTATGTCAATGAGTATAAAAAAATGTCAAGAAATTGATTTTTTATAATTCCGTTTTAGAATATACACTCCTCTTACTTCCATACTCTTGACTCTTAACATCTATCATAACAGTCACAATGTTCCAAAAATCCTAGTAATGTTTTTGATAGAAAGTGATACTAAACATTGTAAGAAAAAATTTCTATGTGTTAACATTAATTGTGCAGTATGATTATTATTATTTTATAATTATGAAAGAAATAATGTTATTTAATTTAATATTTTATTCCTGTTATGGAGCTCTTTGAAGACATATCAATGATCTATACAGTCAACATTTATTTGAACGACATCAAAATCATACAAATAACCTGCATTTGCATATCCAATGATATAATTGCTCTTCATATCTTTGATTAGTGTTTGGTATATCCTAGTCCCTATGCCTGTAATAATATAGAGTTCTTACTTCAAACTTTGCCCGTATTAATAACAAAAATCAAATCAAACTCATACTTGTGCCAATTAAATTGAGATCATAAACAACAGGACAATTTTTTTACATGGTGCTTGATAAAGATGCAAGATCACACATCATCATTTTTAAAACCATGATGAAGAAGAATCTCATAAAGAATTGATATCACATTCATTTAGTTTTCTTGAGATCATAGAATGCTTTATTTCCATCGGAAGACATTTATATTATGAATTAGGCCTAAAACTTAAACAGTCCAACTTGCACACGTATGACTAAGAACATTCAGCACGAGATGGTTCAGCAAGAGATTATGGCAATAGCTGATGCTACATGAGAAATAGTCATATTTTATGCATTGCGTAACAGAAAGAGACTGTATATGAGTAAGAAGATTAAGGTGTAAAATACGCTCAGTTTCTTTTCTTCATAGACTGGATAGCGCGAAACTAATTGCATTGTATGTGAAAAATGCGCAAAAGATAAAATGTCAACATTGAATACAATTTCATCAAAGAATCAATCAGAAGAAAATAATGTAATAGATTTCAAGAAGAGAGTTCAAAGTAATTGATACGGATGCGTGACTCACACCCAGCATTTATTCACTCTCTGATTTTGAGATCCATATTGGTCTTTTCTGCAAGACGGATAAGTACAAAGAACCTTACATTCAAATATTCATTCAAAATATGGCTCAGCTCACCAGAAACAAACTCTGAAGATGTAATGGGCTACGAAATTTAGATTACGAACAAGAGGACATTTTGTCATGCAGTTGTTTCTTCATCTTATATTGATAAATCTTAGCTGCCTTATTAATCAGCCTCTCCCGTCTTTAGAATTAAACCCTCTACGCTGAAGAGTCCTTCTCAATTCATGGACGTGTGTAACATCCCATACTAACATCGCGTGTATTCAACATAATCTAAACAAGACCTTTTACTTTTATCACCACATTGATATTATCCCAATAACGACAAAATGTCCCATATGTATTATCTCGCAGAATTGTACACGACTGATGTCTGACATATTTTGAAAGAAGCAACAGTGTTGACATATCACGTCACATGTGGGTTGAATTATTCTGTCTTCATATCGTTGGTTCGCCCACTCGAAGCTCTTGTTGGTTTGATTCTGAATACTTTGCTCGCATGGCTTAGATGCCTACTTGTCAGTTGGACCATTTTCTCCATACACTTGAGGTCGGATTGGAGTTCTTCTGATGAAAGCTTACAGGTTACTCAATTTGTCGCACTTCTACTCTTTATGCTAACATTGCTGCAGTCAGATTAGGATTTGACATTCTTGGGTCTCCTCTGCACTAGAGTGTCAAATTAGAAGATTGTATGACAACAACCGCCAATCTCGAGCCATCTACTCTTTACTTCATCGCTTGTCTTTAGTTAGGCTTGCTTGGAGTTCTGTCATGTGCGTGTCTTGCTTGCTTGTGCATTGAATCAATTGCATCAGTGAAGCATGGGGAGCATAAGACTTGATCACTAGCATAAATCCCTAGATGAACCGTTTCATACACAGGGGTCTACCGGTACATCAAACTATACAAGGAACACGTAGTTATTGTATTTCACTATTTCCACAATTTCTTCTTCTTCAATACTTTTTTCCAAATTGAGTATTCGTTAATCCCACATTTTATTGTTCTGGATCTTGAGGTTTTTGGTGATGAGACTGAGTACCGCACCAAAGCATCTCCTCTGAACATCGAGCAAACTTGTTAATGTCGTCTTTTCCGTTGCCCTGAGGAGGGGAGTTTTAGAGTTGAAGGGAGATTTTGGGGATTAACCATCAACATAAATTGCCTTCGAATTAGAGTACTTCTGTCTCCTGCGTTTCACAGCAACAGCTACAATCTCAAAAAGACGAAACCTTGACTGAACGATAAGTGCAAATCTTACCTCAAGATTTTTGAAGAAAAATAGGCAACCAAGGCAGATCTAAACCGCAAAGTTTAGTACCAAAATGCAACCATCGCATGCCACCAATGCATACTCAACGTTCAGTGTATTGCCGTTAGACAGGCACTTGAAAGGTGCAAGACATGTCACACCGGTGGAGGATAGGACACTACCATGTGGTAGACAATTATGTGAGCAAACTCTGTTCCCACAGCTAAAGTTACCATCGATCACAAAAGTTGGCACAGTGCCTCACTGAGGAGATGATTGGACCCAGTCAAACAAGAGTTCCCAACCAGATGAGACATCACTTGAACAGGGCAGAAACTCTCAAGGCTATCAATCTGGTCACAGAGTGTGATGACAACTACTCTTTAACTTTGTGTTTTCTTACTTCTGGCAGTGGACAGCAACAGGATCAAAAACGAGATGTTTCTGCACTTGCGCATTCAAGGAACCAGAGGGTGCGTACCGAAACAACAACTCTTTGAAGGCTCGAGTTTCACTCTTCCAATCCATGGAGGTTGTTGCACGGATGGATAAAAATCAGCTAACCCGACCCGATCGCTGTGAGAAGCTACGATCAGGTGTAAAGTATGTCCTACAGATAGCTCCTCCGATTCACGAACTTCGAGACTTCGCAACCCTTCCGCCTTCTGCATTTCATCTGCTCTCCATCATAGGGCGGGGCTAAGCACTCTGATGAAGGAGGGCCCCGTCCTGGCCGACGGCATCGAACATGCTCCACGTCACGCGCTCTTCTTGTCAACTTCGCATCTGCTCTACACTAGGGTCCAAGGCTATCGAAAAACTTCGCAGCCTGAGGATGACCCTGCACGAAGTTTTGGACAAACTTCTTCTCAGAAATTTGCAATATATGGCAGAGGGAGTACTCTCTGGTGAGCAGACCCATGTTCTTCAGCCAAGCAATTAATTGATGTCTAGGCTTGATCCTGTGCTCCAAACTGTACGTCAGATAACCTGGAAACTCATTTACAACCTTCTTCACACAGTAATTATTGGCCTGCAAAAAGTCAAGCTTCTGCTGGATGTGTGAAGTGCTCAAATTCAAGATACTCGGACAAGTAGCTACAATTTTCCCCATGCATTCCTTCTCCACTCCAATACTCTCCAGGTACTTGATCTTCGGGAGCACGTTGTCCTCGTTGCTGAGACAGAATATCTTTGGACACCTAGTGATCAACTTGCTCAAAAATTTCTTGTCCACTCCGATGCTCTCGAGGAGCTTGACCTTCGGCCTCATATTCTCCTCGATACTAAGAGCAAAAATGTAAGGGGACCGCATTATTACTTTCGCAATACTTTCCCTTTCCAGACCGATACTCTCCAAAAACTTGGTCTTGGACATCATATTCCCCTCTATACTGTATGTAAGTACTGTTGGGAACCGCTCGATTATTTTCCCAATGCTCTGCCGTTGTATGCCGTAGCTCTCAAAAAATGCCACTTTTGGCATCAAATTCAACTCTAACCTGCCGAGCAAAAGGTTCGGAGAGAACAAGATGACCTTAGGTAGGTCACGAACCCCAAGAGTTCTCAGAAATGCTATCTTGGGCTGCAACTCCTCCTCTAGACTCAAAGACAAGAGTAACGGACACTGCTTCAAAACCTGCATTGCCTGCTCCTTCGTGAAACTACAGCTGACGAGAAAATCCACCTTCTTTTGCCAATCATTTTCTTCTGGAGTTTCCAAAGAGCACAGTTGAGTCGATCCGAGGAACCTGACCGATACGAAAGCGACGCCATAGTCTAACTTCAGAGGCTGAGCCCGTAACAGAATCACATTTCTGGAAGGGAGTGCTGCACAACTTGCATAACGACACGAGATGGCAGGAAGTGAAGAATGTCCTGCAATTCCTTGTCTTTGAGACAGAACCGCAAGCCTCCCCAGAGAGCTATGCACTGCTCTCTTTATAGACGGCGACATTCCGAAATTTGCCGACGAACCTAATAAGGCTTCGCTACTTTGCCTGGAAATCCTCCTGCCCCAAAAACCTGCGCAAAATTCGTTGGATCCTCCTCTCGCTCGCTGATGTCATAGCAGCAATATCCCAAGCTCGTCAACTCTAAAAGGCACAAGGCCAGACACCTCTCCTGGATCTGCGACGCCCACCCATCCCTCTAACCGCAGCAACTTATTTTTATTTGTAAAATGTGGGACAGCCATGGGCCAGGAAAACAAACTGCCCTTCACCGTTCGAGTCCGATCGGCAATTCACAGTACGAAGTCCAAACTCTCTCCGTACACTTTGAACTGTTGAATGCCCAAAAAAATTCGCGAATCAGCTGGCAAATCGGGAGAAGAACAAAATCTCTGAGAAAAGTGATCTCTCGAATTCATGTACCAGACATGCACATGAATTTCTCTATACACGATGCGCACTCAGTACGTTTCAAACTAGCCCATCAAGCAACAAGCCTCATCCGATTGGCACATGAATGAACTCACGAGGCTGAACTCAACCCGAAGTTTCGAGTGCCACAGATTACTTCGAGCCAGAAAAACCCGACATTACAAACACAAGAGCATATGCACCACCCACACACGGAAAATATGGAAAATCACAACAAGCCAGAGCCGAGAATTTCATCACTCCCCGATGAAAATGCCACTCCGTTTCCTGAGAAGGCGATCGGAAGATCCACCCAAAACCACGCTGCAAAAATGCATCCACCACTTCTCTGAAAACGGACAGCCCATCGAAGGAAGCAAACCAAGCCAAAACTCGACCTCTAAAAATTAGGTCTCTCCTCGGAGCTACAACGAGAAACGCTCACGCACATTGCAACAAGCAGTCGCGCTTGCACGCACAGAGCTTCTGGGCTCTGTCACTCGCTTCCGGGCGCGGAGGCCGCCAGTTCGAAGGAGTCGGTGATGCTGCAACGTGGGCCGCAACAAGATTCAAATGCGGCTGCACTCGATGTCGCCTCGCAGCGGGCCGCTGACTGGGACGGAGACCAGGGCCGCCTTCGACCCAGCGATTAAAGCTCTCAGGCGACCAAACCGAACAACTTCCCATTGGGGTCCGTGGCAACCCAACCCAGCCCATCCTGGTTCCGCCGCAGCCTACCGCCTTGGTCCCGTTGACTCCAGTCTACAGTACTCGTAACGTCGTTCCAAACTCTTCGTATATTTTCCTTCGTTCTTTCTCGGTACTGAATCATGATTCCTCCAACTTTCTCCCTCGTGCGTGCGGTCTCATGTGCAATTGTAGAACCTCATGCCATCTCTCTGCGTACCTATTGTCAATCTCCATTTTAGACCACTATGCTACACATTTTTTTCCTCAATGCAACAACGTATGGACAAATGTAATGCAGGTACAACCTACATCGTATTTCGCTTGCCAGCATAACACATATTAGTGTTCAAGTAACTTTTATCATATGTTTTATATTAATCTAGAAAGTGTAGATTTTAATATGTTATTTAGAAGAATTTTATTTGTAACATAGGTTTTTGTAAATGAAGTATCATGAATGTATTGTTATTGATGATATCTGCTTACATCCCGATATTTCAAAAAAAAATCATAATGTGGGTTCACAGCACATCTTTTGAAATTTTTTACTTCCAAGATTATTAATACTTTTTGTCAATATGAAATATCTTTCATAACACTCATGTTTTTCTTCTTAAGTGAAGGATACCTTGACTAAGACTAAGCACATATTTATGATAGACAAGTTGTATTGCCGATCAATCCATACACAAGCAAAATTACATAAACGTTATATCAAGATGGATAATCTTCTACTTAGAGAAACGCACCTATGAAATTCTCAAACTTTGAACTTTGTAAATCATTTAGTTGCAACTATTTATTGATCTTGCTAGAGAACAAAACAATCATAGTGGAGGATTGCCAAAAAGCCATGGATGATAACGGAAAAATCATGTCCAGATTGTTAGGAAAATTCTAGTTGGCTGGTTTTTCTAGAAAACCAGGGTTAGGGATCTATGGCTTCTGTCTTCTTGAACTACAGAGGAGGGCGAGATCTAGCTCGCCCTTGAGCATTATATTAATTGTTCAGCGTCAAATCTGCGTGCAGTACTGTACTATGTCTTCTCGATGTTTTTTTGGGCCTTTACTTGACAAATGTTATAGAACCATTCTTCTTATCTCAAGATCTGGCCAAATTCTTTGCATTAGGACATATCTTCATTTGCGGGAATTTGGGGAAGAGGAAGGCGTGCTCGCCATTCTCAAGGCTCTAGAGTCGAGATCCACAGTGATTTCAAGAAGATGAAGCTCGGACATTGCATTTAGGATCAAAGACAGCGAAGATCTTGGCGAGCGTTCTGCAGTTGCGGTTCTTTGGTACTTACTAGATTACACCTCAAAGAAAACATCCTCCTGAGGACAAATGATTGACAGCATTTTCAGCTGTGTTAAATTCTAAAAATCTGAATGACTCGTAGTACCTTGATTTCAACGGCACTTTTGTAGGAAAAAAAGTATTGATAGAGGTAGCATTGTTGCAAGAAGCAGGGCATCTTCCACTCTGAATCAGTTCTACGCATATGGCTGCATGAATACAAAACTAAGCGTATTGGCACTCGTCAAAACTTATGAGAGGAACAATTTGTTGGTCGCTAATATTGACATAGACCAGCCCAGATTGTCAAGGGCTGACAAGAAATTTTTTTGAACCATCGATCAAATTCTTTCAAGTAAATGGTGCTTGATATACATTTGAGAGATCCAAGATTCTAGCTTAAGCACATCTCACCGAAAAAATCAGAATTTTTCAAGGCCCAAAAAAAATATCAGATGTCTTCTGTTGATTTTTAGAAACAAAACATGAACATTTTTTGAAACGAATCCATAGCCAATACTAGATCAATGACTAATATTGATGCAGAATTTTGTAGTAGATGTGACGTGATTACGTATGTTTTCCAGCCGATTGTCCTTGGATCTAAAATCTTTGACCTTTATTCGACACTTCTATTCATAAGGTGTTTGATGTGTACTTACAATTTTAGCAGAGGCCCGTTCTGGATGAGTTCAGCCCATAGATTCATGAGCTTCAAGGACTTTAGAATTTCAACTACTGTAGTCGGGTAAAGTGTGAAGTGTGAAAGAGAAACTTGGAAGCAGCATCAGCTAAGCTGGTTGGATCTTGAGTCTTAGATTGGTGTAACCATCAGCAAGCAGTATTAGTAGCATTTTCGTCGCCTCCATCGTTATGGATTTTGACTATGGATATATTTGGTTTGAAAGTATATAGGATTATTTATGTGTTTAGGCTTGAATATGAATGCATAAATCTAACATGGCAAAAATATTTATGTATTTCATTACATTACCGAAGTTGAAGATATAATGCCAAAATCATATATATATATATATATATATATATATATATATAATCTGCAAGTTATGAATCGAGGAGAGACGGTTCTAATTTAGCCCCAATTTTAATCAATATAAATGGCTTTATCATGATTTGTCGATCTATTGAGCATGTCAAGATGCATTGATTATAGCTCTCAAAAACACAGTTGAGATATCTAGGCCGCCAAAATCATTCCTAATATTTGACGATAGGAACCATTGGATTATTTCAGATTGTTTTCTCCTTACTCTCCTGTTGACTATGTCTTGCTCACTCGTGGTCGTTGTGTATTGTGTTGTATGATAAATTTGATGATGTGACATTTTAGAAATACACTGAAGAACTTTTGTGATGGTATATTTCAGATCTATCAAAAAATCAGTATTACGAAGTAGAAACTTATCTTATTAAATGTATCTTCAACACCTCTGTAGAAGGATGATTTCAGCAGAATTGTAAATGATGAACGCTCAATGAACATTTTCCTCTTGCATGGATCATATACACAACGTAAGCTTGTCGTTACATTCTAATGCTTGAGTTATCTACGCGACTTAGACATGTTATCAAGGATCGCGGTATTAATCACTGCTTGACTATTGAATTGACCAATTACACATTGCGTATGATCGCTTTCACAGATACGTCTATGAGAAACATCAATTGACTGCAAATTTTCCCGTCTGGGAATTCTCATCTTGATATTTGAAAAAAGACAAAAAAGTACTTGTTGACAGTGAGAAGGTAATGAGATTCTTCATGTGACATCAGTCATCTGTGTATCAACGGAAAGAACCAGACACAGTGTTGGAGATTCAAGTCTCACAGCGTCTAAATCATTCGGCAGATCAGTGTTACCTCCATTCCATGCTTATGAATTGTAGCGACCTACGCATTCCCTCGGAACGTTCCGATGTGTCAAGTCTATGTTTTTGACGACAGAGTGTTGATTCTCACTCAGCATATTCATCAAATTTGTACCGAGAGTTTTTTCTTACCATCTATCGTCGTTGTATACTACTCTGCTCAAGGTTCACGAGCTTGCAATACATTAAACAGCAGAATAATGTGTTTCCTTTAGGCACTTTGAATGATAATATTATTTCCTTGATATTGCGGTTTAATTACCAAGTCATTAGTCTATGGGTGATTATTGAGATGAGTGCTTGGCAGGCATTTCGTGAACCAGGCAACCATTTTCAGCATTTGTAAGTTAAATGTTTCCTTTCGACCATTCTACATTGCGGTCGAGACGGAGTGGAAATTGATGTTCGTTAATTTTCGGCACGACTATTCCTACGAATGACTTATATTTATATACTTTATTGATGATTATTTCACGCACGAGAATATACGTGAAAAAAATCCAACCGTCCAAACAGTGTACTGATGAAATTAAGTAAAGAAATTTTTCCATTGAGATTTAACAATTAAGATTTGATGACAATTACATATTTCTAAAACCGGCATAGCTGATGCACATTGCGAGAAACCAAAACACTTCCTGTATTCATTTTGCCCCACAGTATTCGATTAGAATCTACCAGTTGAATAGGGGTACTGAAATTCCCAGAATTCTCATAAAGAGAATTCAAAATTATGGAACTCATCAAAGCCGTAAGTACAATTTCTTGAAGACGACTAATTCCCGAAAGAAAATCTACGGATAAAATAGCTTATCTGAACCAAGTTCCACCGACGATCAGAACTAAGAAAGAGACCCACGATTACAATTCCCTAAGACTCGAAAACTTCCCAAAGCTAAATATAGTTGTATAGCAACGTAATTGAAACAAGTTTCCCCAACTAACAAAAAAGAAACAAACAGTGAGACATGAGATTTAGTTTATCGAGCTATTGAACCTAATCACGCCAACGCGTTTTCTTGGCTAGACGGTGACAGTACATCCCATCCGGCAGTTTGCTGAAAAAAATCCGTTCTCCACACTACCAACTCTTAACACATCCGGAGACATCAACGTTAGTTTCGTTAAGTTCTCATCCATCTTGTTGGTCGACTCAAGGTCGTAGGTTCTTGTTCGGAATCTACAGTTGTTGTTTCGAAGGTTCTATACCCATAAAAAAACTTAGATACGAAAAGTCATACCAATGCTGCGCTAGGCTAAAATTCACCTAACAATTATCTCAAACCAGAGGTAGTCTTAAAACCCTGTAAGCCACGACAGCCTTACAGGGTTTTCAATCCGCGAGCATCCTCCTTAAGATGTTCCCTACCTGGAGTCATCCCGATGTACGTAGACCTTGCTAACAACGATCTTAAAAACGCGGACAACCAACACATTCACATAATCCATACAAAACGAGGACACATGACTGTAACTAGGAGTGCATATAAAATGTTGAGACGCCAGCATGGCAGCGAAATAGTACAAAAATTTTGACAGACGAGAGAGTAATGCTCTACTGCTCAGATTGAACGCCGTTACATAGGCAACAACTCATGCACACGATCACGTCAGGCAGGTAAATCATAATTTGCCCTATGGCTGAAGCTGAGCGCAATATAGTGCTGAAACCTTTTCAGATCGGCAAATCTTGCTTACTATGAAGAGGCCATACATCAGTTTCGTGACAGAAAGGCCGAAAAATCTCTACTTCAGTGGGATAAACCTGGAAGAGTGGGTAGCTCCGATACCGGGTCTACCGTGCTTCACTGGTTTGTATGAGATAGAGAACTCGCCCAAGTAGTGTCCAATCATCTCAGGCTGCAGACAACGAAAAATTTTTATGTAAATGCGACTCCCACGTTCGTTTTACTTCCTCAAGTGTATGGAAATGAACATCAGCGCAAAAGTACGATGTGGGGTGGAAAATATACCTTAATCTCGACCTGGTTGAAGGTCTTTCCGTTGTACACACCGATGACGCTGCCGATCATCTCAGGCACAATGATCATGTTACGAAGGTGAGTCCTCACGGGCTCGGGCTTCTCGCCAGCTGGAGCTTCACGTTTCTGTAGTGAAAGGACCGACGTCAGATAGAATCCTCATTATTCGAAAATATTGGAGCAAAGAAACATCAAGCGAGATGAATTTACAGATCTCAACCTTTGAAACATCTGAATCCACTACAAGACATAGGGCCGTTCGCATTGGTGTCGAGGTCCAGGTCGATATTTCTAAGCGTTTTGAAAATTTCACTGAGACTGTAAGGGTACACATGGCAGATGGGTCTTACCTACCTAACCTCAACCTAAGATTCGGCGGTAAATGTCGGGAGACTGCCAGTGATGACGGTTCCAGGAAAAATGCCTGAGCAGCGTGAAGAGACTGGCATGGGATTTGATGCGGAGGTTCTCGAAAATATCAACGCTAATGAGGTGGCATAATCGCAAAGCATGGCAGAAGTGAAAGGAGTCTCAACCTCAGCAAACGGCTCTCCGAGAGATGTGATTGAAGGAAGTGAAACTACTAGCGCAATAAGTGCTCGGGACGTGGATTAAGAGGACTCCAAGGGTAGGGACGAAAATTTCGGTAAAGCATACGAAGAGGAACGACAAGAAGATGGGAAGAAAAGAACATGCTGGCAATATCTAGTCAAAAAGCAACCGCTTTTTGGCCACCGATATCGAAAGTTTCCCCCGGTGGTGACATCACTCATACAAGTGACATTTTGACGATGATTGTGACAGTCAATTGGCTTCTTATGTTTGGTCGGTCTGTAAAGTCCAGCGATTAGGATATGCATAACAACCAGCTACTGAGCTCGAACTTTTAGGGTCGGACTCTCAACCTGTTCTACGATGCTTCCATGAGATGATCCACGAAGAGCTGGAATTGCTCTTCAAAACCAGTACAGTGGTTATCATCGACCGTGTCTAGATCGATGGGTGATTTTGAGCAGTCACATTCATTCAGAGAGCAGCAACGCAGCAGATAGTCTGTTGGTTCACGAAGCAGTGGCATCCCACGGCCCCGAGGGACGGGATGGAATGGGGACGGCAGGGAACGGACAGGGCGGTTGGGCGTGGAGCGATTCTTCGTGGGCGAAGCGCGAAGAAGCAACAAAAGGATGGGTCACGGGCTCATGGAGATGGACTGATGAGAGGGGAGTCAGTCTCAGTGAGGTGAGGGGAGGAGCAAACGGGGACGAGGCGGAAAGTATCGAAAATTTCAAAGCTTATGAGGTGGCAGAATCGAAAAGCGAATTTCGAGTTCAAATTGACAAGAGCAATACTTACAGCCTTGCGGAGCTTCTTGATGAGGGCCATGGGCTTCCTCTTCAGACCCCTCTGGAACCTATTGAGCAAGCGAAGAGTCAGCAAAATTTGACAAATGGCAGAAACCCTAAGAGCAAGAACACTGTGATAGAAACAACCACAAAACAGACATCGCTACCTGCATTGCAAACTTCCGCTACAGTAACGTTTAATATCACCACAATCAAAAGAGCTCGAACTAACCTTCTGCGTGCACGAGCGTGGAAGAGCTCCACGAGCTCGTCAGAGCTCATGTCCAGGAGTGCATCGAGATCTACACCCCTGAAGGTGAACTTCTTGAATGTTCTCTTCTTGGGCTGCACAGTCCCGACCTCAGGTTCGATGTCTGCCATGTTGCAAAATTCACCACAACAATCGAAGAGATTGGCGCGGCACGAGAGAGAAACTGAGAAGGAGGAGGTCGAAGCACTTGTTGGAAAGAAGTTACAATCTGTCGAGACAGAGTACAAAAAGGAGGATTAGGGTTGCGGCCCGCGGTCTTACACATACACAATAGACAGCCGAGGTGGGCAAGGCGAGAATCTTCCGGACAACAGTACAGTGGACAACACTTCGCTACAACACAGCCCAAGTTTAGGGTTAAGGGCCTGAAAGGGACGGGTGGGCAGCGGGAAGGGAGGTAGCGTCGCGGGTCGCGGCCAGAGGCCCGAACTCGGACGCTGTCGCCCCCGCGCAAGAAGGAAGGGAGAGAGGGAGGGAGGGATGGATGGACGGAAGGAATGGACGGAAGGAATGATGGACGGATTCTGTGGCCGCTTTCGGTCTCACCATCAGCGAAGCAGTGCAGTCTGTCCCAATAGCCTTCCTTGCTCTGGCTTCGGCCCGTAACGCTGATTTGGTCCCATGCCATCTGCCTTCGTTCCGTGCCTTCGTTCCCCTCTCGTCGTCCCGTGTCTCGAGTGCTCGGGAGCCGTGTTTTCTAGACCATCCTCGGCCTCAATCCCTTCAGCGTTTCCATCGTGGGAAATCGTTCGGCGGCAGGAAGGAAGCAAGGGACGAGAAGGCTCTTGTGGGATGAGAAGAAGATTTGCCGACGAAGCAAGCGAGCAGAGCGCGCTTTCGATTGTGCTGTGGTGTTTTTGATTTCTGCGTGGATGTGTTCAATTGGTATGTCCTCCACCTCGATACTCGTCGACGCTCGTTTCTCTTGGGGTTGAACAGATTTAATAGGAAGGTGCGGCGGAGGAGGAGAATTACTTGTTCGTTCATGTTTTTGACCGGGAAAGAGCCTCGAGCTGTGTCTGTGCGGAATTACGACTGGCCGTAAATTGGGGTGCGCCTCTGAGAAGAAGAAATTGGAAGACGGACGTTTTCGACGTGACCGCAGGTGGTGGTGAGCACGAAATTTTGACTTCCTGAGTGGAGAATTTGGGAATTAATTGCACGGTGCGTGACACACCGGCGAGAGCATACTCCGAGGGCGGTTGGGATGATGGCCGCGAACGAAAGGATGAATGAGTCGGCAGAGGCGCCGAGTCTTTCACCGGAGGAAGCAGGCGAGGACCCAGCGATCATGGATCGCTACGCGGGTAGCAATCACGGTGGAGGGGGTTATAATGCAGTGGGAGGAATGGGAGCTTGGCCTGGCCCGCCCATGGACGGGGGAATGAGAGCACCGGCGAATCCGTCCGTGCATTCGATGGCGCACGGATCCGCCATCACAATGGCCGCGCTAGCTCCAGTTCCGCAAGCTCGGCCGGTTCCTCTTTTCCAGCCTCCGTATGCTTTTGTCGTTCCGCGGAAGAGAATTAATTCCCTCGCAGATATTGAAAGGTTTCATCAGTCGGAAGCGGGAAAGACTTTCTTAGGCTTTATCGTAGGGCTTAGCGATTCTGTAAAAGGCATGAGGCTGTCTGATTATTGCAGGGAGTCTCCTCTGATCATGTCCATAGTAGGAATTTTGGGGAGAATGAGTGAGTGGGTCGACGAAATCCCCCCGAGGCAGCAACCTGCCCGATATGGGAATCTTGCGTTTAGGGATTGGCAAGCTCGTTTAGAAAATCAGGGCCCGAATCTGGTTAGACAGATTTTACCAGACCACCTCACGGACGCGGTAATAGAGTTATTTCCATATTTTCAGGACAGCTTCGGTAATGCGACTAGAATAGATTTTGGCACCGGCCATGAAGTCAACTTTGCGGCGTTTTTGATTTGCTTGGCAAGGTTAGGCTTAATCAAGCAGGATGACTACCAAGCGGTTGTCCTGCGTGTGTTCGTCCAATATCTCGATCTTATGAGGAAGCTGCAGACGACGTATTGGCTGGAGCCGGCCGGTTCACATGGCGTTTGGGGCCTGGATGATTATCATTTTCTGCCATTCATATTTGGGTCAGCGCAGCTCGTCGATCACAAGTACATGAAGCCCAAATCGATACATAATCAAGACATTCTCGACCACTTTTCGAAAGAGTATCTCTACCTCGGGTGCATCGAATTCGTTAAGAAGGTGAAGAAGGGTCCTCTGGCCGAGCACTCTCCCATGATTGATGATATCAGCGGGGTTCCTTCATGGACCAAGGTAAATGGTGGCATGCTCAAAATGTTCAAGGCCGAGGTCCTAGAGAAAGTGCCGATTATGCAACATTTTCTTTTTGGATCTCTTATACCATGGTAGAATCGAGCAAATGTATACATTATTTTGTGTTACTTTTTTATCCATATCTGTTCGCAATGTCCATAAATCAAAGCGACTCAGCCTGTCTTCCTATTGCATCAGTACAGCACAAAAAGTCATGGTTGCTGTCATATTTCCTCTTCCAGTTTCTCGCCTTTCCTCAAAATGTGTGCCAGAAGATTGTTGAATGATTGAAAAGCTGGAGTAAGAATTGTGGCGTCTGTCGCATCGAAATCCTCCGTAGGTTCCAACTGTACTAGATTAGATGTGGATTTTCTGCTAATCCAGAAATGATGTATTAACAAAATCGCGTCATAGAGGTGGCTTTTGTTCAAACTGCACACATTCCTGTTCAAGTTTGGCGAGACGGAGCACGGAAGACGTCTTCTTATCAGGATGTTACCCGAGGCTGAATCAGGCCTCTATATTTAAAGGTTGTTCGGCTGCATTTCTATGGAGTTGGGATGAGTTCAATATCCACTATTTGCATGCAGAGAGCTTTTTCACAGAGCAAATAAACTTCTGGATAGTCGGAGCGTATCTGATCACTGCTGATATTTGTTCAATTTTCACTAATAGAATTGCGTAAGTCTTGGGAATGATACTGCAACGTGTGAATTGTCTTGGCGTACTACTAGTTAATGGCAGTCTGGTTCGACCCGAGTCTGGAGCCATGGGGCTGGCTTTCTTCAGACATTGCACTGCAGGGCCCGAGGCCGCTTACTGACTTCTGTGACTGGCGGCAGTCGCAAGATTAGCCTGGCGCTGACATCAGCAGCTAACGAGACACGAGAACTTCCCTCGCTAAAATGTCACCAGGAATCTGTGACCCGGTTTTCCACAGAGAAACATGAGTTCCAAGTGCAAAACCTCGCCCGTTCGAAGCGAAAGAAGTTCTTGTGCCCCTTAACCGAAAGGTCGGAAAGGATTGATGCAGATGCGATCGATAGACTCATAGCTTGTTCTCATCCATCCCGATTCGTACCCCGACACGAAACGAAACGAACGCAAACTCGTCGACGATGGTTTTCTTGTACCTGATATGAAGGGCTAGAGCCGTCATCGTCCATGTGCTGATGTTCTGATGAACTAAGTGGCTAGAAACTCCTCGCATTAGAAGTTACGAAGTCAAGTCGGCACGCTTGACATGCTGAACCAAGACCACAATTCACTGGACACATGGTGGGGAGACAGGTGAGCACTGCGAGTGGAAAACAAGAGGAGCCAGTAGACGAGTGCATGCAGACCCTTTCGATCTTCAGGGTGAAGAATGGGATTTTGTCTAAGGTTTTGATTGGAAACCCCATTAGTAGTACGTCGTGCTGTCCACAGACTGACAATTGTGGGGCAAATGGGGTCCAAATCTAGACCACGGAATATCGGAATGACGACTTAGGTGTCGAATTAATTAGTTCAGAAAGTGCTGGAAAGTTCAGAATAGTAAACGAAAGAGTGGGTCACACCGACGGCATGGCATGCCGCACCTGGTGACAAGATCCTGACGAACTAAAGATTGTGATGTCACAAGAGCATAATCAAGATGGTTGGGTATCGAAATGCATCTTATCCTCGAAACACATGCTACCGAGTAACATTCTACGTCTACTTTCTTCAGGTGCAGTTTAAAAGTCTCGAATCGTCAAGAGTCCCAAAGGAACTTCAAAGATAAAGGGTGCAGTAAAACTATCGAAAATCGACATCTTTTCTTTGTGAGTTTCACGAGTTTGTTTATGGATTATCTAGAAGTTGTTCAAGGTTTTCAAAGTTAGATATTTGGGTTTAGATAAAGGATCTCTTAATCAAAAGTTAGAGCTCGAATGAAAACTCAAAAACTGGGTTCATGAATTATTTCATAATTTGTAAATATTCGTGTTCTTTATTATGATATCCACGGCACGATGTAATATGAAAATTTTAAATTTTGTATACATCTTGAATCACATTTTTGAATGTAAGTTGGATATGTAATTCAACAAAATCCAAAATTATCCCACACTTTGTTGATTCAAATTTTTCAACCTAAAACAAAAGAAAATATCTTTTTATAAATAATACTTGACATGATCCAAATAAATTTTTTTGAATCATAGGAATAGAGTTGAAGATTTGATGGAATTGATCAAACAGAAATTTTGAACTATGTTTAAAGAGGATTTTTTTTTATTCATTTGTTCATTTTTACTTACTTATCATTGTTTTGCAAAATTATTTAAATTTTTTATTTTCTTAACCTCTATTCAATAAGTAATCTTAAGATTTATAATATTAGTTCCATGATAAAAGTGATAGATTGCGATAATTTCCAAATTGCATATTTCTTCTGAAGAACATAATTGGAGACTTCTAATTTAGAATATATGTTATATAAGTGCATAAACATACCCTCGGCAGAAATATGTCGAAAAGTGACACCCGTCCGTAGACGTAATAAAACGGGGATGTTAGGCGGGTAAAGGATTTCGGAAATTTTCAAAATGTCATTTAGCAATGTGACAATAACAATACACCTTGAAATGTTATGATGAAAATTGCGTCAACAAAACTTTGTAATACCACATAACATCTTGATATCATAAAATAAATTCTATCTATGCTACTGTGTACAAGATATTATAGAAAAAACATCAAGGATTATTCTACGTTAATATATAGAATCAAAAACCCTTCTGTACAATCATAGACAAGGCTTAAAACATGAAAATTTTTCCTGTCTTATAACAACTTTACCTACAAATCCTGACACAAGACTACATATTTCGATTTCAACATTGATTTGATCAAATCTCTATGGCGTGCATATCGACACGTGTGCACCTTAGTTTCATAAAGGTCGGTTCTGGTTCCAGCATGTCGTTTTTCCCCTAGTATTGAGGCAGATAAAGTCCAAGTGAAATGAGCACTGAACTTAGAGGAGGCCTCAAAAAGCGCCAATCGGGTTTAGTTTACTTCGTAAGCCCCTTCTACTAGTTGGGACAGTGCAAGGGGCCAAGGTAGACATATATTACTGGGGTGAATTTGAACATTCAATCGGAAATCTTCACACGACGAGACGTCCATGCATTTGACTGCTTATCGGTACTGAAAATCGTGTGAGGAGTCGAAGTGGTGCTTGAGTTACATAGGCGTATCAGCTCTTAGTGGTAAATTTGGAAGACTCCTGATATATCTACAATATAAGTAGAAAACTAACACAATGCTATCTTCACTACTGATTTGGACAACTAAAAGTCGCCGAATACCCAAGCCTTGGGTTTTCCGGGAAGAGCAATAACTTAGAAGATAAGCTTAAGATCGCAACCGGTAACCTCAGTCCAGCTGTGCTAGTATCACGATTCAGAAACAGAGAACTGAAGCTTAGAAGTGTTCCTTCAGTCAACCCAACACAGATGCCAAGTACAGCGTCAAACATGGATCCATTTGGTTCATGTTGGACTCCACCACCATAAAAACCACATGCCTGAGAACTCAAAACAACCTCACAGATCCATACACACGAGGGGACGGCCTCCACCTCGTTCTCACGTGCACTTATTGGCTGCATCATCATACTCAATTTGACATGTGAGTGAAAGACTCCAGACAAACTCGTGGGCAATTTCCACCGCTTGATAAACATCATGGTACAAAGGACCCAGTATTGGTGGATGGAACACTGGGCATGTAGCTACCGTTGATTTGTCGTCAAATCTATCACAGTAGTTTCGCTCATCGGTGAAATATCCTAGTCTCATTACAAAGTCGCCCACTATACTGAAAGGCGACAAACTAATATTGGATTGCGGATTAGAAACATGAAGATGTTGGACATCTTTCGTACCAGACATGTACACAGAGTTTCCTATTCTGGACACTTGCGAAGCTGTCAACTCCGAAGATCAAGCTAAAAGCCCTAAGGGTGGGATGAGGTAGCGGAGCACTCCTCTGAAGGATATTACTCCCGTCGATGAAACTTTGACAAAAAATGCAGAGGGATAAATCCCTCAAAGAACCCGCGTTCTTTCTTTCGAAGGTACCATCATTCTATAAATGCAAGGAGAGACGATGGGGATGGTGAAAATAATCAACAATTCTGTACAAGAAGATCAATTTTGTGAAGTGGCAGAATATTCAAATAGCAACCGGTTGTCCACCGAAGGGATAGACGAGAAGAGCAACCGCAGCTTGCTGTTCAGTTGGTACAATAAAGTCCACTGAGTTGCCATCTCAGACTCCTTTAGTTGCCGCACCACTGATGCCTGCAGGCCAGTAACTCGGAGTCGATAAGTACTAAGAACAGCATGTTGCAGAAATATTAAAAGCACAGGATCTAGTTAAGAAACAAACAGTAAGTTAAGCTAACGCGTTGTAATGTGAGGGACTGATGTAGTCATTAGTCCCTGCAAGTACCACAACCACCTTCCTTTTCTTCGTCTCAATACCAGCAAGTAAATCACAATTCCATCTTTGTCCAATATGTGTTAGTTACCTGCAGATGTTTACCAAGCTGCACTTCTACTTCTGCTCCAAATGACAGGTTGGCAAGAGATTTGAAGGGGTCTGTAGTGGGATCCAAAGAGAGCAAATTAGGAATTTGAGGAGCAGATACTAGACGCCATCGAGCTTGTCCAAATTCTCCTTTGGTTTCAATACGAGGCATGAGAGTCTCCACTGTTGCAGCGGCAAGCTTTTTGAACGCAAGCTGGCCATCTCCTTCTAGCAGAGACTCTGCAAGTTGGCTTTCAAATACTCGGGCCGCCTGCAGTTGAAAACGAACAAAGGATCCAGTCAGTCGCGTCTGAGTATACACATCGTAGGATACAAACATATTCTCCAAAAGATATGCCAGACCCCGAACACGAATAAAACAGGGCTGTGCTGAAGGGAAGAAGCGGACAATACCTCCATACGTGTCAGAGCATCTTGTTCGCCAGAGCGAGTAGAGCTGACCACAATATTGTCCTGCCAGTTCCTAGCTCGCCCTTGCACCTTAAGCTGCCAGTCCGCACCCATCAAAGCCAAGTCCAAACTGGGGTCTAGACCTTGTTCAGGCTCAAATTTAGCTCTGTTCGGATGATCCTTGTTCAACCTCACCTGCAGGAGATGTATGTCCAACTCCTTTTAGTTCACAACGTAATATGTACCATTTTTCATTAACTTGAACATTCAGCTAACCCCAAACGTCGGAAGATCTGAATGAGTAGTTCATACCTGAGTGGCTACCAGATTAACATCACCATTTTCAAAAGTCAGTGTGCCCCTTGGTTTGACGCGAAGAGGATCTGCATAACCATTGAGTTCTAATTCTCCACTGACGGCAAAGTTGAGTATCAATGGATAGACCATCCTCAATTCTGGACCCAGTACAAGCTTCAAACCTCGCAGTCGAATGTCTACCGGCGGTAGAGGACCAAGACTCCTTCCATCTTTGGTGTCTTCCCTCTTGTCTGTATAGACAGGCAAAGCGTAAACTTGTTACAGTCTTCATTCGTCCGAAAGACACAGCCAACTGATCGTAGGAATGTATACATCATTGCAATCAAACGAATCGCTTGCGAGCTTACCCGCTACTTGGCTAACAAGTTCAGGTAGAGGGAAGATATCAGAACCATGTCGAGCGACACTTGAAGCAGCTGCCATCCAGCTGTATCCTCCTCCTGGCGGGCTGGAAGAAATTGTTGATGGAGGAGCAGTATTGCCCTTCTCTTGAGAAAGATATGCTTCTCCATGGCTAAGCTTTATCATACCCGTTACTTCTGGTTCAAGCAGCGTTCCCATCAACCGCACCTGACTATTTACCTGACCACTGGTGTCGAATAAATCACCACGGATATGAGTAAATGAACAACATTTGAAGCAAATACATATGACTTCAAGGCATTGTTAAAATGACCACAGACAAGTTTTAATAATGTTCGAGTGGAAAAAGAGCCATAGTAGGCCACGCCCACGGCGACTCTCAGTTATGGGTAAGCTCAATATTTAAGCTCCTGAAGAGCAACCTCAACTATAGCAAGCATATCTAATTGATTTATTCACCAAAAAAAAAAATATGCTACATCTGATGGAAGAGAGGTGCGAGCCCAAGCTGAGCTGTGAATGAACACCTCGCACCTTACCTGAAAGCATTTCTAGCTCGCACTTCAAGATGTTCTGTCTTCAGTTCAATAGCGTCACCACTTGTTAAGAAGTCGCCGTCTTTAAGGGGAAGCTGGCCTTTGACTTCAACGAGACCCCTACGACCAACACGCCCTTCTAACCCCTCGACGAAAAGTTGGTTATTTTTTACACGGATAGTGCCTCCTAGATTCGATAATGGTCTGGGAAGGACTGGAGATGATATAGCAACTTTGTAGAAAGATGCTACTCCATCTGCAACTGGTTGCTGCACAGTCCCTCTCACCTGCAGTAAACATCATGCGTTATTGCGATAAAAATTTGTCGGTGATGTCCCTTTTAATTGTTGTAATAAACCCTTCTTGTTCTACCGAGTTCCAAACCCTCTCTATTATGTAGCTTCACATGATCATGAACATAACAACTTCTAAAACTCTTTAAAAGCCAAGGTTTAAAATGGTCACATGGTATTTCATCTCGTGTCGATAGACAGACACAGGTAGCTGCACCCTTCCAGGGCTGCACGGAGGAGTTTTGAACCACAAAAATTTAAAGACGATTTTCAAAAACTGGGAGGAAGAGGAATAAATACCTGCAGCTTGATATCTGCACTGCCTTGAAGCCAATGCAAGCCAGGAGAAATGGCAGTTAGCAACATCATGCCTCCATCTTTAACTGCCGCGTCAACTTGCACTGCACCGCTTTCAAGAATTTCTCCGTCTAGGGACTTGAGGCTCTCGGCAAGGCGCACTTCCCAGCCTTCTTCTCCTCCTTTCTCAACACTCTCACTCTTTTCGTCTTCTTCGTCATCCTTCCGATCTCGGTTCCTTTCCCTTCCCCACCCTCTTGTCCTGCTCCGCATTTCCTTGTCTTTCTCTTCAACTTCGACCTCATGCTCCTCCAGCCCACCTGGGCCCATTGGCAAGCTTCCACGAACACGGACATGCCCAGTTTGAGCAATAGGTTCCAAGACTGCATTAAAAGCTAGTCGATTGGCTGAAGTTATTGAAGCAGCCATTTCTGCCTTGCCCAGACTTATACCTCCTACAGCTCCATCTAACAGCCGAATTTGAACATCACACTGGGGCTTCGCTAAGTGACCCCGCAAATCACCTTCCATGTATAGTACACCTTTAATTGGAGTATTGTAAGGTCGGGTAGAGGGGGTTAAGAAAGGTTCGGGAGTTGAGGACTGAATTGCATGCATCAGGGGTGGAACAAGGTCAACAGGAAAATTCAAAACAGCAAAGTGGAGATTGGGCTTTGGTCCAAGAAGTGTCCCATCGGCATGCAAGGTAGCAGTATCTTTCTGTATGAAAAATTTCTCTAGCCGAAGCCCATCTGTGTTGCAGTAATCTCCGATAGCTATTACCCTTTTGGTTTTGTAAGCACCCCATTCCCATTCTTCGCCACGGAGGTCAAAGTCAGCCTGCGACAGAAGATCAAGCAACCAGGTTTCATAAGTTGCAGTATCACAATAACAATCCCTTAAAAATTCGTGTCTTGAAGTAAGAGGGATAAACTATACTTACATATGTATCGCCGTCTCCGCCGCCACTTGCTTCAAGAGTTCCATGCCATGCACCTCTCAACTCTGCCAAACCAGGAAGAGGAATGGACTCCGGAGTGCCCTCTGATGTAGTCGTTCCTTTACTCTGTCGCAGATACTGAAACACCCAGATAAACAGGAAGTCAGAAGGTAGTGTAGCTCTTAGCCTCAATTCAAAAAAAAAATGCAAACCAAGACATGTTTTGGTTTACAAACAAGATATAGAGCGGCAAACCTCATATTAATCAGCGCGAAATAAAGAATGGGTAATACTGACCCCCATAAACATAAACTCTAAAGAAACTTTGTACAGGCTTCAGACTATTACATGATACAGAACAATGATCCGAACGAACACCACAGGGACTTTTCAATTGCAACAACACTTGCTATCAACTTATTAGGCTGGAAAGAAAGCCTAAAAGTTACTGAGGCTAACTATAAACTGCCTGCGAAACATCGCCTTACCTCGAGATGATCCTTCAGAGTTTCCGCAGTGAACCCCACAGCTGATACGCTTTCCAGAAACAGCTCCTGCATGGGGATAAGCAATCCAAGTCAGCTGCAACCTTTCAAATCCTTCACCTAGATTTCCAATATCGTTCAATTAACACAACTGAGATTTATTTACACCCTTTCTAAGTCAGGTTTAGCCATCCAACTTAAAAGGAGGAATCAAAGGCAACAAACGACGTATTCTTAGTCGTTGACAATAATGAAATATGGCTTGAAGCAACACGTTGACAGAATGTTCTTTTGTAGAAACAGCTTATGAATGGGATGTACTGTAAGAATAGCGATACAATGGTCACTAAGAACTCACTTAACTGTGGTACGCATGTACATACATATATTAAAGCAAAACCAAAAATCCAGCTGCACGGAGAAGACCTTCGGAAATTTGAAGTTACCTTTGACCTAGAAACTACGGCTGGGTCGCTACTCCTCGAAAGAAGCCGGGCAACTGGCAGCATATCAGACACTTCAGCCTTGGGAACATCTAGCCTCAGCCGCCATCGCCCCATAGAGGTGATCATGTTGCCCAAATGCCCTGCCATGGCTTTCTCCCACATTCTTTCTTCCTTTCCTTTCTCTATAACTGTTCGATCACGTAACCCAGGAAGGACATACTCTCCCTGCATTTCGTATCTACTATTTGCTTGCTCTAGAAGTAACTTGTCAAGAGTGATCTGCATATCGTGAAACGGACGTTTATCACAATAAGCTACATCAGACAAAACATATTTGCCATATCCAGAAAGAACTTAGAATGAACGAAACTTTATGTATTATGGATTACTGAGAGAAAACACACCACATCACCAGACCATCGCGCATTGATATCAAGTGATTCTCCCTGTACACCACTACAACGGGGTCGACGAACCGATAGATTCCCTTGACCCCTCCGTTTCTGAAAATTTAGTGCAAGCTCCGCCTGATCACAAACCCACATAACGAAGTTAGGAAGAATTGTCCTGATACATCACGATGACTAACAAAGTTTGCATAGCAAGATGAGGGACGACAAAAAATGGCAATCACAAGCTAAGTTGCTGGTACAATCAGCAATGCTGACATAGGTTCCTACAGAGGTCTCCTCGTGTTAGGTTTACAAAAGATCTGCATATAGACCATGCATCCCCTGAAGCTGCTTTCGAAGCTTGATCAGGGAGCTCACCTTTTGTACTGCACCTCGCAATGATGCGAGTTCCAGTTCATCAAGCTGCAAGTTACGTATCTGCAAAACAAAAACTAGAAATTTTCAGTATCTAACAAATACGAGCGTGCACACCTGCCACCGTGAAAGAAAACGATATACAGCATAAGTGAAGAGAGGTCTTGAGTAGTTGAGTTTGTCGTGAGCCAACCTCCACTTTTGCTGAGTGGCCAGGCTGGAAGTGCAGGTCAGTGCGAAGTTGACCCCTCAATAAAGAGAACGAGGCGCCTTCTCCAAATGGTTCAAAGAAGGAATCTTGAGCCGGCGCAGTACCAACTGGGTGTTTTGATACCACAACGTGGAGATGTTCATCAGGCCTCCCTGATGTATGTACCTGAAAAGAACTTCTGTGTTTAGCTCCTCCATGTTTGCTAACACAACAACCCATCAATTATTCAGGAGGTAACAGATACATCGGCAACGTATGGTCTTGGATAAAAATTCAGAACATAGTCGGAAACTTGCAACACATCACCTGATGGGTATACCTGTCACTTGGTACATGAAGCACACTTTTACCTTGAAGCTGGTTGGAGATATTTCCAAAGAACCATTCAACTGAGGAGCCACAAGTAGCTGATTCAGTTTCACGCCCGATAGTGAAATCTCGCCCTTTAGGCCGGGAATTCCATTTCCTGAAATTCCAGGACGATAATTTGCTTCTACTCCAGAAGACGATCCCACAGCCTCATCATACTCTGACTTTGGCACATGCCCGTTGAACTTGACTTTGCCCGTCACTTTCATGTGGGAAGAAGGTGTAAGAGGTGATCTCACAGGAGACATGCCCATTACGTCGAAACCCCGTAGTCGCAGGTCTAGATCAAGGCCTTCGATGGTAGGTGGTGGAGCAGGCTTGTACTCAAAGATTCTGGTTCTGTTAGGTTCAATTGGAGGGTGCAAGGTGTGTAGTTTAGATGAAAGATCGTATGTGAAAGCAGAAGAGTTGAGAACTATTGCTTCGCGAGAAATATGCACGTCACCATGCGCTCCACTGAAAGAACCTTGCGCTTCTGGTGTGTTCCACTTGATGTCGAAGACCCTGAAAACAAAACTCGGTTGTCAGATGAGCTATAGACTACTGTTCAAATCCCAGAAAGAGATACACCCGATCACCACTCGAAAACCGAAATCCCAAAACCTCAAGAGACATATCTGACGGCATTTGTATGTATCTAATCAGCAAAGTCTCTTGTAAATAGGATTGGAAGCAGTGTGTACAAAGACGAAAGGCCAACACCAATACAAAAAAGAGGAGCATGTGTAGATTACGGCATCAGAATGGATCCTCGAATCTTCGCTTCGTTATGCATAGTTCCAAAAGTATTAGGGGGGATTTCAACTCCACTTGGAATATAGAACCGAAGTAAAGGATCTGTTGCAACTTGTCCCGAGCAGTCGATACTCACTGCTGATGGGTCGAGTTCTCCCTGTTCAAAAAACAACTTATTGTGAGATTGTGCAAAGATACCCGCTGACATCTTTACAGTTACGAACACCATAACAGCTGCTGGTCATTCAGAAGTATGTTATGCACGGAATTTTGTGCGACCAGATAAAAACAAAGTTTCGTCTACAATTCGACTGCTCGAAATTTCATCAACACAATTCGTTTGCACTTCTGGCTTCACTCACTTCCGGACAAATCCACAGATTGCCACCGCCGCGTATCTCGCCACCACCAACCGGCACTGCTTTTACTCCATATAGTTCAGCCATCTGCAAATGAACAATGAGAACCAGACCAAAGGTTACGGCCTCGTGACCTAAATGGAATAGGATTCTCTCATAATGCGGCTTCGACGATGGCCTTCCTCAACTTATGTTCTTCCTCAAAAGGAAATTTTCAAGCAAATGGTTTAAAATTCCTTCTGCATCAGTCTTCGCCAATTGGAGGAATAAACTGTATAACTTAGATCGGCAGGTTAAGTGCCAGAAATACTGCAGCAAGTCTGACACGGATAAATAAGACGAGAGTGTCGGAAGAGGAGTGCTAGGACACAGATATAGCGCGGTCAAGTTGCTGGAACGTAGGCTCCATCAAAGTGTCGAGGAAAGTGAAGCCTATACAGCCAATAGGCCTCAGATGAGTAGATCTGCTTACACAATTATCGGTGTTGAAGGTGAAGCTTGCAGACGCCGATGTAAATGGTATGCGATCGTAAGCGGCTACTGCCCCAACAGCATGATTATCTTTGATCGCGGTTACTGCGGTTGAAGCGGGAGACTCATAGACCAATGGCAAATGTTTCCCAGATACTTCAGCAGTACCCTCAAAGATAGGAGCATCCAAAGGACCTCGGCAATGTACAACTGCTTTCAATGCCCCTGCCAGCTACAGAACCAAAAGAAAAAAAATTTATCAGTTGACCTCTTTGTGGAGGTAATGCTTGGTGTTGGATGTACTTATAAGTTAAGTTGTGGCTCATTTGAACAGCCTGAGGTAACAAAGCCAAGAGCGACAATACAGCGCTCAACGTGAAACCCAATGTCTTGAAAACCTCTGATAATTTTCGCGTTATGGAAAAGATCAATTGCACCATAAAGTTTGTCGTAGGTAATTGGTTGCACGCGTATGAGTGACAAACAACATGATTTATATCGGCGACGAAAATGATACGTGTGGATCTCTTTAAAACTTTACAAATATATCAACAAACGCGTGTATTAAAACAACAGTAAATTCTTCGAACAGTCGAACAACGTAGAATGGTTGGCCTTAACTCCATCGCTCGAATGAACCAGCATCCCACAACAATGACGCCTTTGGAGTAAAGCTAATCGACAACTCAATATGCCAATTAAAATCAACATACAGAAATAAAGTAAGGCTTACAGGATATGGAGGAGGTTGAGCCTTGAGTGTTCTCATGAGAGCATTGGCTTCCACACCGGCAACCTGTACCCAATCAACCCCAAGACAATTAAATGATGCTTCGGTGTATCAATTGTCGAAAAGCACTGCAGTCATGCTGAAGCTTATTGTTACTATTCTTCATCACACAAACAGACTGGATCATGAGTGATACACTAAAAAAAAAGGCAACACATTTGGACGCATGCTTAATCCTGCTGAAATTACTAAGAGATTGTAATACAGACCTGACAGCTGAGACGATACTCTCCCTCATCAGGGTTCAAGTCCATATCTCCAGAGACTTGCAAAGGAATTGCGCCGTACAAGCCTGAAGTATTATGGAAAAATAATCTTTGTCCTTGGAAAAAAAGAGTTCCATTTACTCCCTGTATCGCATTCCACAAACCAGGATAAGATACTCTACCTGAATATGACTTTGGAAGTATCGAGAGTTCAAGCTCCATGCAAAAATGAGGTATTTTATGGATGATTCATCCTTGTAAGCTCGTCAAGGTCGATCTAGCAATGCATATCTGGAGACTGACACAGGTAATCCATATATCTTCGCTATGAACACTTCCAACGATCTTTGTCACAAACAAACTCAAAATGCATCATGAGCAAGACAGCACATGAAACACAGCTTTATATACCTTGAATGGCGCAGGGGCATCCCAAATGGAAAAATCAAGCCCCTTTATGTCCACACGACCCCCAAAATTGGGAAACTGATCATCTTTCAGCATCCACGCATGAACCTACATCAAGGAGGAAAACTTGTTTCAACTTCTAAACAAACATCCTTCAATGCAAAAAGACTAAGTTGAATGTTACAAGTAGACAGACACTCGTAGTAACTCTCCAGGCTTACCTCCCCATTTGCCCTGCCCCCAGTCCAGTCCAAGGGCACTTCCAAGAGCTTCTCAAACAGCTGTCGTCAAAGACAAGAACTACCAAGTCAGAAGAAAGCACAGACTTTAGTCAGTCTTAACACCAGAATTTGCACTTGCCGGCACTACAATGATAACGGAGATTGTTTTCAACTTTTAACCTAGCCAAAAGCAAACAATTTACACTCTAGAATGACAGTTGCAGATCCACTCGCCACAATAAAACCAGAAGGATTCGACTTAAAACGTGTCCTCTGAATTGGGTGGCATTACCCAGACAAATATGGCCACATCGAGAATCATCTACTGACCGGAGCATACAGATTGCGAGCTCGAACTTTCAGGTGCCACTCCTGCTTTGCGAGATCAACAGCCACTTTCACAAATATCTTTCCTCCATCGCCCTTTATGTTCTCTGTTCTCCATTCTTTTGGGTTACCAGTTACCCGAACATTGATTTGATCATAGCTGTTTCCGAACTTTACTACTCCGGCTGCCTTTTCCATAATTCTGCCACCACGATCATGTCAATAACCAATGTACCAAAATGCTTCACGAAACTTCAAAAAACCTGTGTGAAGACCAATTCCTGAGGTGCAGAACCAAATACTTTTGAAGCATGACAGCACCACTAGGGTGATTGTGTTCATCATGGTGTGTGGTAAGTTTGTTTAACTCTCAACTGCAATTGTAGTCCTGAACGAAACAAGGTGAAGACTCTTCTAGCAAACTCAAAAAATCCAACCTTCTATATCATACCGGGGCTCACGATCTCCATAAGCTAGCAGCATGAGACTGCCCTCCTTGAAGTATACAGAGTTAAGAGCCACTAGCGGCCTACGCGGCGAATCCACATTGGTAGCCCTTGAATTTGGTTTCTCACTGCCTCCAATGTCATCATCTGTCTCCGCCTGCCTTATGTGCGCGTCCTCTCGGTTGAGAGACCTGTCGACTTGGTGTGGCTCTCGACAGACTTCCTTCTCAAATAGAAAGTCGCTCTGGAGCGTAGACGAGTTAGGCTCATTCTCAGCAGTGAATGGACCAGGCGAACTGGCAGCTTCTCTGTATGGTTCTTTGAAACTAGCGAAGTGTATGTGCTTCTCTGTGATACCAGATGGCAAGTCTCCAACGTCCCCTTCAGAATTGGAACGTGGGTCAGTCTGTATTGTGTGGTGAGAAGAAATCGGATCCAATACATCCTTTTCATCAAAGATAATATCGCTTGGGGACTGGACATTGCTCAGCTCTTCTTGATCCTCAGAAGTCACAAGAGAATTCAAGTCTCCCGAAACTCCCTCGTTAGAACTTCCAAACAACTGCACATTCCCACCAAGCTGATCGGTATTAAAGTCGGCTGACTCCATGCCAGAAATCGATGCCTTACTAATTTGATCTCTGATGGCTTCCTGCCGATCCCGTACGGCCTGTACTAGAAGCTCTTTCACGATTTCTTCTGTCGTCATGGAGCATCCCTCCTCAGTGTCTGACCGATTGTCCACAACTGCATTCTTACAACTTGTTACATCGTCCTGTTTCTTCTCTGAAGACTCTAAATCAACTCCAACTTGTCTGTCTAAACCCGCGAGTCTCCTTCCCAACGATTTACGCCAGTGCTGCCTGCCACCATATCTCCTAAAACTCACATGCTCAGCCTGGCTCTTTTGCTTCCATAGTGAATGTTCGACATGTAGCAGAGGTTTATCCAATGAAGCTCTAGCTTTCCCTTCGAGCTTTCTTTGTTGCCTGGCGCCCAGGGCACTAGATAGGGACAGCGAAGGTCGATTACCACTTGAGAATATTCCTCTGTAACCATCCACTATGGGTGTGTCAGGACTGACAATAGGAGGGAGCTTGATTGCTTTGGAACTTTGCTCAGGGGGAAGTAGAATTTCATTTGCTGCACTCCAGGCCATCTTCATCTGATCGTTCGCGTCATTGTCTTTCACAAGATTCACATCACTGGAATTTTCAAGAGCACCGCTTCCTCCGCCTTTCATTTCTGGAGACTGCGACCGGTCCAACCTTTCAAAATAAGCTCGCGCTGCTGCACCGCTTCTTTCAAGATTCTTGTTCTGCAAAGCGACCTTTGTCATAGGTTTGATTCCTTGGTTAGTCCACCGTCGAAGCACTCTGCGTTTGACTGGCTTCAGCATGTTGGTGTCCAACCAAACCTTAGCTCCAATTATACTGTTCTTCCATTCATTCAAACTGTTGAGTTCTTCGCTCTCGTTCAATCTCTCCTCAACGTGTTGTCCTGCCTTTATTCCATCCACTTCACCTAGATAATTCGAACTCGTATCTATTCCATCCTCGTTCTCGGAGTCTTCCACGTCTATCGGCTGATCCTTACTCTGCTTGTCAACCGTGGACTGGACTTTATATGCTACGAGCATACTGGACTTGGTAGAAGAGACTCTTTTACTATCACTCTCTGCACCTACTCTAGCGAGTCTGTACCCGCTGAGTGCAGCCTCTCTTGCCGCTTGATTGCGAATTATCGTAAATTTCTGCCCCTGCTGCTCTCGAGATAGCCGTCTAACCTGTGTTCGGGAGTCCAGATTCACTTCAGAGCTGTGCCGCATTTTTTTCTTTTCATCTGCTGTAAGCGGAATTCCGAGCCAAGTCCAATCCTCCTTCTGAGAAACGAGCAGATGGGGTTGAGCTAGTACGGCGTCCACAACAAGCTGCCCTCTGCGAAGACTCGCAAGAGGGAGAACTCTGATCTCCACACCAGGAATCTCCCCACACGAGAATTCATCCTCATGCGTACCGACTGAACATGGTCCGAGCGTTAGCCCTAACGGAGAGAGACTCTGCACTTTTCCCAACTCGATTTCTCTGCCGAAGTACTCCCCAACCATGGCTGCGACAGGAGGTAAGAATGTGGTCTCGATGTAAGCCTGAGCTTTGGCCTGCCCATACAGAGCTCCACCTCCCATTAACAATACAGCGGCCACCCACGCGGATTTTTGTAAAAGATTTGTGCTCTGTTTTTGGACCCACGAATGCTTGACCGAGGAAGTTTCAGCACCATTTTGAGGCTCCGGGGTGTGGGGGTCCTTCTGCCCCCACTTACGGCCATTGATGAAAAATCGGGTAAATGCCTGGCTCCGGTGGTTGTAAGGTGGCCGGAGGGGGATAGTGGAACTTGTATTCAAACGAGAAGCGAGAGTCGGCAAATCTCCTGTGAAAAATGGCTTTTGAAATTTCTGCCATCGCGCAGACCCGACGTCCCGTGAATGGCTGGTGCTGGCCCCAGCCTTGGCCCCGATAGCGTTATGAGCACCTTGCGATGACAGCACCACGTTTGAGCTGCTCCCAAGGGACACCGAAGCTTGCATCCTGCATAATTACCAGAATAAACCCTGCTGATTCGCCAAATTCCAGAAAAATCTATCAGCCCTGCTCCGAATTGAAATCCACTCGCCTGTCTCCAGAATCCTGCTCAGAACGCAACCCCCGGCGACCAGCGCTTTCCAAACCTACATTTCTAATCACAACTCTTCCACCCAAGCGGTACAAAATTGCCCACCTCCACAGAAAATCCCGCCCTCCTCCCGGACACAAACAATCGGCCCTGCAAAACGTCCTCAGCCTGCATTTCCTCACCCTCGCCCAAATTCAACAACCATCCCTTCCGTTTCTGCCTGTCCACCCCAGCCCAAAATCCTCAGCTACAAATTCTCCCACAAGAGAATCAAAATTCGTCGCTACACGCGACGAAAGGCTACAAAATTCCGACTGCACGACACCTGCTGCCGATGGAGGGAGCAACCGAGCGGCAGAAGAAGCAGCGACGGGAGCCACAGAAACGAGAAGGAAACCCATGCCATGCCATGCCACGCCACGCCACGCTCTGCTGCTTGCGCTACGCTGGAAACGGCCCAACGCACTCTACTCTACTGCCGAATCTGCTCCTCGCCTTGCCACAAGCGATGGATGACGGAGGTTCTGTCGGATGCTCCTGCCACTGCTCTGCTCGTCCCGTCGAGATCCTGCGGTCGCAGCCGAGTGCAGCCTTCTGGTCTTGTCTCTTCTCCCGCTGACCGCGAGTTTCAAATAACGCCACATGACACAGCGCACGCTCCTGCTGCTGCCGTACGGGGACGGAATGGAAGGTGAGGCCCGTGCGGTCAGCGAAAGACGGTGAAGGGCGAACGCGAGGCGAGCTGGTGAAAGGCCTTCCCCGGCTCTGACGCCCGTCGACTCCTCTCGGTCAGGGTCAACTTCTACCGTCCCCCGTATACAGTGCAGTACATACTTGTACCTGCCTACCGCCTCCCTCCCGCTACCCGCCCGCCCTCGTTCAACGCTACGTTTCGAGCTTTCCGGCTGCCACCGTCATCTCCTCTCGCTTTCCTTCGTCTCCCGCACGACTCCCTCCCGCCGATCTCCTTGCCGTCGATGGGTGGGTCCCACCCTCCATCACCGTTGGAAGCTTAGATGTTGCCGATCTCTTTCCAATTCTGGGCGAAGATTCGCGGTGAGGTTTGGTTCGGTTCTTCTTAATATAGACGTCCAGTTAGTTGTCCGTGGAAAGCAAGGGGGCCCCATGAACTGCGCTCTTTAATCAATTCTTATGTATAATAAGAATTGATTCGTGAGTTGTGTTTTCGGACCATAGAAAATGTGGGATTTATGGCTGCTAAGTAAAATAGAACAAAGATCAACATACATCTTCTCTCACTGTCCTTACTTTTCGTAGTGGGGCTACGTATAAAAAGGTAACCAAACAAATTCTGACAAATCATATCTGACTTGAAATGAACCAAGGGCTTCAATGGGATATTTATCATCGTGGGTGAAAGGCGTAAAAGTATAGAGTTTACTCAAAGGAATTAAACTGATATCTATGTTCTTCATCATGATCAATGATACGGCACTAAATCCCAATCAGAATGATCGTCTGGCTTGACCCGAATAGTACCATGTGTGGCCGTGCATACACTGGACAATATGAAGCGGTGTACATGATTGGCAAAATCTAGTATGTGAATCTATATATGTAAAATTAGCTTTCTAATCTATTTCTCTCTCTCACTTTACTTATATATTTAAAGCATAGCATTACATCTAATCCATCTATAAAACACGTAAAAGTTTCACGATTTGCTAATATCATAAACACTTCAAATACAATAATTGAACATTTTGATTGTACAAACGTGTTAAGATTATAAATATGAGCCAAGATGATTTTTTGAACGTTTTAAAAGGTTATACTTTGTAAGAATATATTTTCAATGGCTATCTGGTGATCCACCAATTTTGGAATTTAAGGTTGCGAAAATATGTGTTTTCGTTATGTTATATTTGTGCTCTATAACCATACAAATTCAAATAAATGTTTAGTGATGAGTACGTAGACACCATATGTTCATGAAAAGCTACCAAACCTCTTCATCTTTAGAATACGAACAAAAAATAGGCTTATAAACGAACGAAGATGACGATTATCCCTCGACATAATGATAGAAAATATGTCATACTTAAAGCAACATAAAAAAGCCCACACACTAGATCAGCATCCAACAAATTATCATATTCTTATTTTTATATGAATTACATTAACTGTGATTTGCTTACATTGAAATCATGTTGGAGAATTATAGATACATATTGATTTTAACTCAGGATTATTCTCATAAATATTGAAATAAGTGCAGATAGCGTACAATTTCAAACTACGCAAATTAAGTAAAAAGCTGTATGATACAAATAACTTACAGATTTTCACGTTTTGTAAGTGAAATAATTTTCTTTATATTATATGTAAAAAAACATGATTTTCACAACACAGAATTATATTTCAATTCTATCAAGTTATCTTTTATTTGTATCTTTCAAATGTAATGCATGTGAATTGAGCTGTAATGTCAAAACAAAGATGTAAGAAATAAAGGTAATTTTGAGCAGCTATAATTGATATTTTGATCGCCAATTGAATCATGTAAATTTTGTGTATCTAGTACAATAAATGTTCAGCAATAAATATGTTGTCTTTCTGTCACATCAAATATCATATTTATCTTTAATTTATCAATCTTTATATTATTCTTGTTGAAATTTTAATCAACATAAGAGACATAACTTTTGTAATTAAATGTGATATTGATAATCAGTAATAAAGATTTTCATACACATTCATAAACATAATTAAAATTCTATTTATTAAAAAAAACATATTTTCACAATATACCTACAAAATGAGTCATATAATCAAAATGTGTGCACATTCAATGCAAATTTAATTTCTTAAATAATATATTTGCACTTATATCTTCACGTACTGAAATTAATGTTTGATGGCATAGATTACAACACATATTACTACTAACATGTTTTAATTAATTTATTTAATTTATATTTGATCATATCTCATACTATTTACTTGGTTTCAACTAAGCTTGTGATTTTTAAAATAAAACGTTTAAAGAAAAATGTATCTTGTGAAATTAAATAAACAGATAATATATTATTAGAAGAATTATATATTGTTATATAATTAATTATTATTTTGAAATATACTTCAATACATCTAGAATATAATAATTGTGTTGATTAACATCAATTAAATACTAATATATACTATAATAAATTAGTAATAAATTGTATTTAAATTGCTTTTATATAATCATTCAATATTCACAAGCAACAACATGAATAACTCATCATAAATTTTGCCTCACAATATTCAGTATATTACTTTTTGAATTTCGGAAATCTAGTTAGTGAATTGTAAAAACAAATTCAATACTAACATTTATTAAAAAACATTCAATTTATTGCAATAAATCATTGCATCGTAAAATTTATGTAATCTTATGGAACTGAATTCATTATATATCATGAAAATTTTGTGTATTGATTGAAAATTTTATTTTTGCTCATTTTTTGAAAATGTTGTTTTTACAAATCGTGTTTTAATGTTAGTATTTTATCATAATCATTTTTTATGATCAATAATAAGAAAGTATTTTTTATAATGTTGTTAATAAAAAATGATACATGCTTTTGAATTTAATCAAATGGTTGAAAATATGATAAAATTGACATGTTGATGTTAATATATGTTGGTCGTTTATGAATCCTATGTGTAATCTGAATTATAAAATGAAAATTGTTGATTTTTTTTTCTAAAGTTAACAATTTCAACATAGCTAATGAAATATGAACTATACATTCAAATTTGAAGTATTTTATTATAAGATTAAAATTTTGGTTAATCATTTTCATTGTATCTGACATATAGTTATAAAACATTTCATAAATATTATTGAGACATTTGAACCTAAATCATCGATGTTGCAATATTGGACAAATATTTACAATGTAAAATAGAAAACGAGCATGAACATTTTGATATCATGTGATTGCTTTGTACAAAAGTTGCATATTGAATGTTTTATGTTGCCATGACATGAACTATAGAGTTTATGAGTATACCCTACATTTGTCTAAGCACACGAGAAAACAATTTTAGCTATAAATGAAGTCTATTTTTTTTTTATATTATACATACATATAGAAAAAACTATGTGTGTTTATTTCACATATGTCAACATTATTGTTTGAAACTTGTAATGAGATACAACTAAGTTACTTCGAGCATCTAAAATCTCATTCTATGTTGCATAAAATATGAATCGATATCCAAAATCTTTATAATTCTACCATTTACTAGTAGTTTTATAGATCTCTTCAAACAAATTGTCAATCTTCATTTAATTACAACATGTAATTTTCAACTTCAAAAATATGTTTCAAATATTTTCTTCATCTATCTTTTGGATTTAGGGAAAAAATTGAACGCAATAATTAAACACATTATTAAATTCAAATTTTATAAATTGATTCCAAAATGTTTTCATGAAAATATAATGCTTTGTTGTTTAATTTTCAATTGTAAAATTATTGTTTGAAGGAAAAAATTACTTGATGGAAACCTACAAAACTCAAAATACTTGTTGGATGTCAACATCATTTATCTTAGTCATCGGTATTTTTCAATCCTAGCGTCACCTATGTTTCCATAGTTTTTATAACTGCTTTGCCCACACATCCAATATCCATGTTTTTAACTCAATTTTCCGCATTCAACGATATCTTGTGATACGATGGGTAGAGAAAATTAAAATTTAATGCACTAGCTTGTGTCATATATGAAAAAACAAATATGATATATACAAATTCCATGCTTTGGATTCATGCAACACTTTCAGAGTGTATTAGGGAGCTATTACCATAAACTATAATTATCAACTTGCCACATATCAATGCTTCAAAACTCCTTGATGTAGTGATATTTAGCTTACAATCCATACTAAAATTATCACTCTATTCACATTATGAATTGCAATTTTGAAAATATACATTCTTTGCAAGAAGTTGTATAGCAATAGTATTGAGTGGTGTGATCAAAACTATCATTTTGAATTATGAAGTCGTACGGCAACATGTATAATGGTGTGACTAAAAATATCATCATAATCACACTATGAATTGCAATTTTGAAATCAAATATTTTTTACAAGAAGTCGTATGGAAACACGAGTGACGATGTGACTAAAATTATCATTATATTCACACTATGAATTGCAATTTTGAAATCAAATATTTTTTACAAGAAGTCGTATGGAAACACGAGTGACGATGTGACTAAAATTATCATTATATTCACACTATGAATTGCAATTTTGAAATCAAATATTTTTTACAAGAAGTCGTATGGAAACACGAGTGACGATGTGACTAAAATTATCATTATATTCACACTATGAATTTCAATTTTGAAATCAAATATTTTTTACAAGAAGTCCTATGGAAACACAAGTGACGATGTGATTAAAATTATCACTATATTCACATTATGAATTGCAATTTTGAAATCAAATATTTTTTACAAGAAGTCCTATGGAAACACAAGTGACGATGTGATTAAAATTATCACTATATTCACATTATGAATTGCAATTTTGAAATCAAATATTTTTTACAAGAAGTCGTATGGAAACACAAATGACGATGTGCCTAAAACTATCACTGTATTCATGTTGAGAATTGCAGTTTTAAAATCACACATTTTTTACAAAAAGTTGTATGGAAACATGAATGAAGATTAAAACTATCACTCTATTCACACTATGAATTGTAGTTTTGAAATCACACATTTTTTATATGAGATTTTATGGAAACATGAATTACGGTGGATTGGATTAAAGTGATGTTAGAAAATTTCACATTGTAAAATGAATTGTGTTGAATATATGCAATTTGTTCACATTATGAATTGTAGAAATTCCATAAGAACATGAATTAAGGCAAGTTGAAGAGACATCGGAGTAGTTCATTGTGTAAAATGAATTGTGTTGGATACTTACAATCAGTTCACACTATGAATTGTAATTTTGAAATCACACATTTCTTACAAAAAATTCCATAAGAACACGAATGACGGTAGCTTGAAGTGACGTTGAAGGAGTTCATTGTGTAAAATGAATCGTGTTTGATACATGCAATCTATTCACACTATGAATTGTAATTTTGAAATCACACATTTTTTACAAGAATTTTCAAGTATAATGCATGCCGGTGGGTTGAAGAAACATTAAAGGACTTCATCATGTTGGATACTTGCGATCTATTCACACTATGATTGTAGTATTAAAAGACTAAGGACCAAACCACACGAATGGCACTGGTAGTGAATCTCGCTGGTGATTGACAAGCTAGCTTTCACTTTATTACAAGGAAGGGTTCGGCAATATAAAATATTAAAGTTGTTAAAGAAATAGATTGATGCAAAGTATCATACATTTCCCCCTTAGAACATTGTTTTTCCGGGATCAATAGACTTCACTTGTATTTTTGCGTCTTTTCACGTTACTTTTTTAGTAATTTTATCCGAATGCATTGCAATTCAACAAAGACAAATCTCCTTTTATTATGTATTCATAAAAAACTTTGCTTTATGACATCATGCATCACGCGTCCGCTTTCAACCCTCTAGCTAGGGGTTCAAATTCAATGCGCATGAAAGTATCATTCATATTTGAACTTCTTTTGGAAGTTTTGCTCATTCGAGTGTTGAAATGACATTTCTTTTTCCATAGTCTTTTGTGCATTTCCTCACGAGAATGAAATTTTCACCTGCAAATCATAACACTCACAACGCCCCGCGGAACTCTGTATTGATTTTCAAAAACACGGATTGCTTGAAAATGATGCAATGTAGTCAAAAACGATCAAAAAAACAATAAATTGTCAGTAGAAAACTTGAAATTATTTAACTTAACGACGTGAAGAAGAAAGCAGATGCTGTGAATACAAATGAGCACTGGAAAGATCATTGGTCATCCAATTGATCACGATACGAGGAGAAATTCATAGTACTTTTTGAGCACTGTCTAAGCAAGGTGAGTTCATATTTGCTTCTTTTTTTTATTTGACAGATCCATCAACATAACTATGACGAATCTCTGTATTATGTCAACATTCTCATCCTGACACATGGTTGATAAGATTATTTGTCTCTGACGAACGAATAAATAGTACGTATAGGCCGAAATCATGTGTACCTTTGATGAGTATGGAAGAAAAGATAACGACAAGTGAGGAACTAGACAAATCAAAATGATATTGTAGACACAAGAGAAGTTTATACAATTAACACGCTTCACACTTATTGATAACAATTGGCTTCATCACGTTGGTTGTTATTGATAAGAGAAAGCCAACTTCTAACTCTCTTTTAATTCTACCGTTCATTCTCGTAAGATTGATGGTTATTTTTTGATTTATAGTATAAGTTTGAGTGACTAGTTTTCATCTGTAGAATGACTGCATAACTTTTGATGATGTTTTTGCGACATTGCCCTTCACGTCCTTGACCGTAGAAGCCTCGTAGTCCGTTATATAAAATGACTTGTCTTGCAGATTATGTATTAAAAAAAGCATAAATAGTTAGAGCAACATTCAAGGAATGTGGCTAAATATTTATATAGAAAATGCAATTAAATAGCGAGGCAAATGGCTAGTTTATTTTTGAGTATTAGACATTTTTCTCCCAACACTATTGGTCAACTACCCTTGAGCATTACAGATGTTCGTTCAGTGCACATATGAGTGGAACTTTGAACAAAGTTCTAGTTGTATTCCTTGCGAGTAAGTTCGTTTTTGTGACCTCTGAAGGGATGACAAAGAGCCGCATGGGCAGGGCTCATCTCCACCAAAAGCATAAGACACAAGCTTTCTAACTTCGCAAAATTGGCCAATCGCAATTCTTTCCCATAGATCAGTGTCATGCATGGAGTCAATCTATACTATGTCAAAATTCCAGTATATGCAGTTGTGAGATACAACATCATGTAGTAGTATAGAGTGAAATCTCGTACGATTGTAATAATCGGCCCCATGTAGCCTAGGTGCCACGATTGGTTAGTGAAAATCATCTACCGCACCAACCACATACGATATTCCATGAATATTTTCAAATTTGCTTGTATAATTTTTGTCAATAGTGATGATGGAGGGTCATCGAATGTACTTTTTGAGAAAGAGCAATTTTAAAGCATAAGTGAACTAGTTGACAACATGTTGACTTGTTGACAGATCAACATTATATAAATCCGTTATGCTCTCGATGGAGTTACTTGTGATTAATCTTGAGATGAAAACCGCCACCTTCACTTGAACTCATACATTGGACCGCATGTTGGTATCTTGTATGTACAATGAAGGGGCGAGGATGGTGCACAAGAACTCAAATGTGGAAACACTCATCCGCATGTGACTGCTGAACTCTCTTGCATTGAATGACCCAAGCAAATTTTGATCAAAGAACCCGAGTTGCTCCAGCTTTTTATCATCGATCGATGAATGTTGAGACATAGTCACACTCCCTAGTATGAATCTCTGCACCATAATCAATATGCAACACATTTGTTGGCAAAAGCCACATCAAAATGATACATTCATCTCTATTAAGACATTTTTCCTTTGCAAAACAATGTGAATTGCAATAAAAAAAGTAAAATGAGACGGTGGACATCATTATCCATTGTGGTAGTCTATGCTAAGAAAGTGAAGATTGCAAACTTCGATGAAAACCACATAAAATTGAGTTACTAGAGTTTAGGGTGAGAGAGTCTCCGTGTAGAAAAAGAAAGAGAATGTGCACTAAAGTTTAGGATGCTGGTATCTCCGTGTAAAAAAAGAAAGAGCACTGAAGTTTAGGGTGCTGGAGTCTCCATGTAGAAAGAGAAAAAAAATGATGCATGAAGAGTATTCTCTCTTTCTATACACTAGGTATTTATTGGCAGCTACTTTTCATTTCGAAAATGGCGGAATGAAAAGGACTTGTGGTAAAGTTTACTGATTATTTCAAGTTGGAAGAGTAGGTCTAAAAAACCAAGTTATCTTCTAGCCATGAAATTAATGCAGGTTGTCGGTCATGTGGCAGCGGTTTAAAACTATCACTCTATTCACACTATGAATTGCAATTTTGAAATCAAAAATAAAAAATCCCATGAGAACATGACTCACGGTGGATTGAAGGTACATTGGAAGAATTCATTATCTAAAATAAATCTTGTTGGATAGTTGCAAATGTATGGGTTTTGCGAAGTACCAAGTAATCTTTTCCGTTTCAACCTCTGATTTCCGCTCGCATATGCCACGAAGCACACTTTCATTAAATATATGAACACTACAGTTTTATGTCTTTCTTTGGAAATTCTGGAGTGAGTGACGCGAAATTCTAAGACGCTTTCCAATGGGAGATGGTGGTTGTTCCAACAATTGCAGAATATCAAGTTTGCTGTCTACATCCACAGGTGTTAACCTCGCAATAGCGACGTTAATTGAGGCTAGGTAGATAGTGAACATTGAAAACAGAACTCTGCAGGAACCGCATCCCTCAGGACAGGAACAGCGCTGTACCGCCGAGTACGCAAACTCCCGCCCAGAATTCCCCGCCATCGGGCGGCGGACGAGAGGCAGAACTACCGACGCGCTCCCGTCTCTTGTGACTTGGAAAACGGCCCGAAAGTACGGACTGCTCTTTGCTCGCTCTTTTGCATGGGAGTCCGAGTTCTGTGCACATTTGGAATCTGCAGTAGCGACTCCTGAATCGATCCCGTCTCGGTTTCAGATGTCGTACAGCCTTTGCCCACTGTACGTGGTAGTCGCGAGCTCGGGCTTGGGCGGGCAGCCGGCGCGTTCAGACATTTCGAAGGCATTTCGAAAAAGCCCCCAGGGCCTGTGAGCGCAGCAGCAGCAAGTGTGGACGCATTCTTCTGCAGATGATGGTCCTTTTTCTTGGAGGTCATTGTTCGGAGATTCAAAGCCATGTGCCAGCGTGAGGTAGGCAGAATACTTTCCGTAGACGCATACCATCGGTAAACCCTATTCAATTCAGTGCGGGAGACGTATCTGTCCTTCAGGTCTGTTGCTTTGTGTGTGTCTGCTCGGCTAGCTGCTGAACGTGTGCAGCTTGTAGACGTCGGAATGTCCTGCAAGAAATACTTTCGGAGGTGGTGAGGCGGAATTTTCGTCCGAAGTAGGCCGTCTGTTTTTCCTTTTTGTTCGTGTTTGGGGGAGTTTTCAGAGGCCTGTTGCAGCTTTTGGATTTCGAGATTTTCAATATACATTTTGCTTACTCTTCTAGGTTCTCGAATTTTGGAAAACTTTGTTTTTGAAGGATATGACAACTGCTGAGTGTTGACACTCAAGTTGCGCAATTGTTTCCAGCGGATGAGCAATTTGTCGGGCCAATTGCTTCGGAGCCCGAGGACGCTGTCTCTATTTTAGAAGGTACAGACTCTTGGCGCATTTGGTAAAGGGATTGTCGTGAGTAGAATGGCTCCGCAGCGTCCTCTTTCCGATTCTGAGGAAGAGGATGAGCAGATGTCAGACGAGCATGAAGCGGGCCGAGCAGAAGCCGACGAGGAAATGGAGGAGGAAGTAGAAGGTGAAGGGGATGGAGAGGGAGAAGGCGAAGAGGAGGAGGAGGAGGAGGAGGATGAGCAAGATCAACAGGATGGAGAAGAACAGGAAATAGGTGAGCAAGAAGGAGAAGGAGAAGGAGAGGCAGAAGGAGATGAACAGGAAGGTGATGAGCAGGAAGGGGACGAAGAAGACCCAGAGGAAATGGCAGCTATTGAAGAGGCTGCTGCACCAGAGGAGGTGGAAACTGAGGTAGCTGCTGCATCGCCGGCAACACCACGAGACGAGGAAGAAAATCATGAAGAAGATGATTCTGAAGACGCTGAAACAGATGATGATAATGAGGTGATTATTCAACGTTGTAACCCCCATTGGATTCGTGATTGAGGTTTCCGACTCTAACTCTTGCATTAAGGTCTCATTTCCACGCATTTTCCTCGAGTGAGCCGTTAAGTTGTCTCCATTGGGAAGTCCATTCTTTTTCTTTCCTTCCAGAAATATTCGTAACTCCTGTTCTCAGTACAGTTTCAAGTCATGATTGAGAGAACGGTTGGTTTTAGGGTTGGTTTTACTTCTAAATCTCAGTAATGACCAAAGGTAGGACTATGACATCGAGTGAAGAACCCAGGTCTTTGCAACGGCCGCTGTTGATTCGCCACTCAAACTTGGAGGCTCACCTGGGGCTTCCGAGACTTATAAATGTATCTGCTCAGGATTTGAAAAGCATGTTGTAGGTCCAGGACTCGATCATCTTGAAATGAATTGGAAGTTAACATGCAGCAGTTTGGATTCCGATTACAAGTTTTTTGACCGATCTACAATTTGGAGTCACAATTATGCCTCTTTCGAGTTCCTTGACCAGTTCGATCTCACCCTCCCGCAAAGTAACATTTTGTCAGAGGATTGGACACTCGACTATTGTAGGAGTGTTCCATTCACCTCGCTCCGATTTTTTCTTTTCTTCATGGGAGAAGTGTCCTTCGAGGGTCTCTTGAGCTCAAAGGATATTGATGTGCACGCAGAGAGGTGTCTTGAGAGGATCCTAACAGGTCCTTGAATCAACCTTGAGTTGCGAACGCTAGATGCCAGCAGATACAAAGTTACCTGGAAGCGTGAAGATATGGAATGGAACCTTTGAGAAGAGAAGAATGGTACAAGTGGATGGGACTTTAAGTTAGCAAGGCATATGACATATGAGTTCTGACAGAGTTGAAAGCAGAAGGTCTCTCAACCCACTGAATATATTCACAATTGCATCTAAAGGAACTTATGTCTCAAAGATAGCAGTCCGAAAAATACCTAACTGGAGTGTTTACACCTGTAGGGCTTGAGGTCTCCTTCCAAAGTTGACATCGCCCGTCGGGAAAAGCAGAGATTGCGAGAGTTGAAGAAGCGAAAGAGGGACGAGCTTGACAAGTTCTTGAACCAGCAAAACGCCATGGTGGATGCTGACATGGTACGTTCGCCCCACTAGATGTTGTGTTAAATGGTGAATTTGGACTGGATTGGAAGTGTACGTCGCCGGAGCTGATTAACAGACGTGAGAGAGAGAATACAGAGTGTTGTTACTCTTTTTGTCGTTTTTAACGGGGATCGTCGTTCAATTTTTTTCTGTGCCTCCAGAATAGCAAGGCCCGTGGAAGGTTAAAGTTTCTTTTGCAGCAAACAGAAATTTTTGCGCATTTCGCACAGGGTCCCACAGGTGTACCTGGTGCACCAAGTCGGAAGGGTAAAGGCCGGTAAGTGATACGATGATTGAGGCTTAAAATACCGGATAAGATCGACTCGTGCACTTTCTCCTTGAATCTGTTGTCGTGTAGCATGATTGCGGTCTAGTAAGCACGCATGTCAAAGAGGTTGTTGGAATTGTGCCATCATGAAGAGATGAACACATGGTTCAATAGCACAATCTCATCTTGTAAATATGTAATGTACCCCCATTGTTGTGATTTGTATTCAGGGGGAGACACAGTTCCAAGTTAACTGAAGAAGAGGAGGATGAAGAATATCTGAAAGAAGAAGAAGATGCTCTTGGTGGCACGGGCGGTACAAGGCTACTCGCACAACCCACTTGTAAGTGATCCGTTTCATTGCGCCCACATTTACTCTAAATTAATTGCGACATGTACCTAGACACGTCTCTTGATTGAGTTGGGCAAATTATTTCCAATGGTATTGCCAAAGGTTGACGTTTTGAGTTTTCAGAATACCGTCTAGTAGAGGGTTCAGGTTCATTTGCATCAGATGAAGGAGAAGTTGTGTGTGGAACTTCGATACAACCAAATGGTGTTAGGAAACAAAACACCTTTTACTTCTCGTTGTCCTTCATACTTCTCAACTTCTATCTTGTTGACGTTGAAGCAGTATGTTATGCCAATACCATCCAACAGTCGATGCTGGATAATCCACAGCCGGAAGCCTTGTGCTGATTGTTATGACATTCACAACAGCATGTCTAGTAGGAATAAGGTCAGTGCTAAGAGGTCAGAGAACTGAAGTACGATGCATGTAGATTGGAGACTGAACAAATAACGGACAATAGAATATGGAAGGGGTCACATCATACCAAAATGAAGGATTCGAAGTAAATATTAAACCTCTCATCAACCACTCAACCGCTCCTGTACCGAGCGGAATCTTCAAGCATCGTCTTTAGGTTTATCTGGTTCTGGACGCGCCTAATTCAAGGGTATGCTTGAAGTGCAATATTCGTATCGAAAGCACAACCGGAATTCTAATTTGTTTACCACGAGGAGAGTTAAACGGCAAAATATCCCGGGAATTGCATGCTGGGTGACAAGGAGGACGAATCTTCGTTTGAACCTATAATGGCATGCAGCTCTTCGCTAAATATGAAAGGTGCTTCTTTCTTGTTATTTGGTGAAGACCAAGAAATGTACCAAATTTGCTGGACTCGATCCATATCCAACATACATGGATCGTAATACATACGGGGTTTGCTGTAACTCCCAACTGAACGACTTGTAACGCTATCTGCTTGATAGCTGGTTGCGGATAGTCTTCAGCGTTTCGGCATCCGCTTTTACGAAAACAATTTCTCTAAAGGAAAGTTATTTCTTCTGGGACACCCAACTGTGGGCACAAGCCCAACGGCACGTTACTTCAAGGGCTACAGGGGTAATTCATTTTACGCCCGGCTATCTAGCACTCAGGAGGCCCTCTTTTGCTCTGCTTATGAATTATTTGTCACTGACCTCCACCGTGATTTTTCCGTCCAGGGCCTTTGATGTTATTGTTCCGTAACAAGCTAGCCCTCCGCTGTACAAGTTTAACAGTAGCTTCGGCAATAGCTGTGGAGATTCTCCTACTGTGGTTAGGGTTATACTCAACCCCGACACGTCCAGTGCCAATACCCAACCGTGTAATGTCCGTCATGGAGATTTTGTTTATGGTCGTTCCTCGCACCGAATACGAAGAAGTGTACCGCACTCTCCTAAAGTAACTTTGCAGTCGTATTTTCCAAATTCAATTTCCTATAATAACATGTTGAATGTAATTTCCTGGATGGCAATTGCCTTTCCCCGTGTTACGGGACTCGCATGCAAATTTCTGGCCTTGGTAATTTTATTGATAGTGTCCATGGTTCCTTGGTACTCTGTTGGCAATCGCCATCGAAGTTTTCTACGCTTGTTGGGCTTGGAGTTTCTAGTGAGCCCTGCGCGGTCCAGTGCCGCAACCTATGCATCTTGGTATGGACTAATGCAACAGCCGAGTGTATGTGATGGGAGCTGCATAACTCCAATTCCAGTATTGTTGATGGTCATTATAGCCCATTCTTGGACCGGAGGGACTCTTTAAAGTGCTCACTCAGCTTTCCAGCAATGTGATATGGACAGGACTGATTGCACTAGCTTCCATAGTGCACTGTTGTCCCATTCCTTGTTTTTACCTGAATTTTTGCATTCAAATGTTTTGATTCAACTGCCATACCGAAAATACCAGTTGAATCAGTTCATTCGTCTTGGTTTGCTCGTCCTTGTGGTCCAAGTCTTCATGCTTCTTCTGGTCTGATACAATGGCACCCTTGAGCGTTGCAGCCCAAACTCGATATACGTTGATCCCCTTGTATGCTAGGTCCTCACGGATGATCGTGTACTAAGTTACGTATGAGTTTTGTCGATTAAAGTTGGCCTTTCTGCTAGAGAATGCTGTGCCGTGTATGCTTTGGCATGGCTTTTCGTAATTGCTTCATCAGCTCCTGATCTAGCCATATCTGAGCGGCGGTTGTGATTCTTGGATGAGGTACCAAGAATCCGAACGTGGTTAAGTTTCCTCGTATCTGATGTTTTGTTCTAAATGATAGCTTGGAAGATCAAACTAACCTCCCCGTCGGTGAAAACTTTCACATAGAGAGAAACCTATACCCTATCTAGTTGTGTCTGATACGGATCATTTACAAACTGGAACGAATCCCACTTTCAACCAAGGCGCGGGGTCTGTGGTCTTTACTCTATAACAAATCGACATTTACCCATCGTACAATCATGTACACATGACGCACTCAGCCTGACCAGTATAATTTTGCTAACACTGAAACAGAGGTGTACACAACTGGTGGAAGAATGGAAGATCATGGACTGGATTAGGCGCTGAAATTATGTATCGTCCCTGTGTTTTTAGGTATTGTGGGAAAGATGCGAGATTATCAGTTGGCGGGTCTGAACTGGTTGATTCGGCTGTACGAAAATGGGATAAACGGAATTCTTGCAGATGAAATGGTGTGCATATTTTTTCCCACTTTCATCGCTCTGTCATTGACTAATGCTTTTCAGTGAAAGTTATTCGATGTGTCCAATTCAAGTTGTAATAAAAAAAAGATTGAACCCCTGTCTTTCAGGGTTTGGGGAAGACGCTGCAGACAATATCTCTTCTCGCATATCTTCACGAGTTTAAAGGGATTTCAGGTCCACACATGGTGGTGGCACCGAAGTCAACTTTGAGTAACTGGATGAACGAAATTCGGAGATTTTGTCCTATTCTTCGAGCAATGAAGTTCCATGGTAACCAGGAAGAGAGGGTAAGCAGTGACTTCTGTATGGACCTATTTGCGGGCAATGCTTCATTTCATTTCATTGTGTTTTAGTACGCATCCGTGTACGATGTACATGATATTGTGGGAATGCTGTACACAACGGAATGTGTGTATTCTTAGGCTAGCCCTGTCGAAGGTGGAATTAACTTCGTCCTTAATTTGGGTGTTTTATTTGCCATTCACTCGCAGGCTAACCAGCGGGACAATCTGCTGGTCGCGGGAAAATTTGACATTTGCGTCACCAGTTTTGAGATGGCAATCAAAGAGAGAACAGCTTTGAGAAAATTCAGCTGGCGATATATCATCATTGATGAAGCTCATCGTATCAAGAATGAGAATTCCATTTTGGCCAAAACAATGAGGCTATTCAACACAAATTATCGACTTCTTATTACTGGAACTCCTCTCCAGGTGAAGGGTTTGATTCATCTTCCTCCTATAACAGTAGTGAATTTATAGCTGACTGTTCTGCGTCAAATTCTGTCGGTCCGTGGGCAAGCCGTAGACACTGCTTTTTTTGTTGGGCCTCGAGTTACACTCAGCCGCGCTGTCCAGTTTGCCTGTTATGTCATATATGCAGCTGGAACTCGTTCTCTTACTGACTGTTTCACGTTCTTCCATTTGTACGTCTATATTCCCATGCATGTTCACTTATAATCACTCCCTACTTATTTATAAATTGCTGGATATCATCAATCTACTCAGAACTATCCCTGTAAGGATGTCCCACCCTGGTCCGCACCAGTTTGGTCCACTTGCATCGTATGCCCTTGCTGTTGATCGTTTAAAGTGTTAGTTATTGTCAGTCTCTCATTAAGGTTGTTTCTAAGAAACAAGTATCTTGGATCGGCTCTTGTTTACAACCTGAACTCATTGCATATTAGGTAAATCATTGGGAGTTGGTATTGTACCACAAATATTTTCTACATATGGTTCCAAAGATCATTCGTACTTCCTTTTATTGTATCATTCACCTCTCTACCGCCGTGTCTCGGGACGGTGATTAAAGAAATCATCCTCTACCAATTTTTTTTTCTACTATGAGCTTTTTCTGCATTTTTTTTGGAACGAAAGGGAGTCCGTAAGCATTGTTACTTGTCATTTCTATTACATGGATATTATCAACTGTGCCTCAGTTGTTTACATAGTCCGATTCAAGAAACTCTTGGTTCATACTTCACTTCTGCCACTGAACGTACGATCTAGTTCGTCTCGGCCGTTATTAGTTTTCACCCTAATTTGTTGCCTTTTCTGTTGTCCTTGGCATAGAACGTATGAGGTGCAGAGCTTTTCCACGCAGTGGGCTTTGTAAAGATATGTTGTTGCCGTTTTTTCCTGCCCCTCTTTCTTACACATTTTCTTCTGCTTCAGTCTGATTGACTGGGTCTGTGGACTTTTTGCAGAATAATTTGCATGAACTCTGGGCCCTTCTCAATTTTTTGCTCCCTGAGATATTCAGCTCAGCAGAAGCCTTCGATGAATGGTTTCAAATTTCTGGTGAAAATGACCAGCAGGAGGTTGTGCAGCAGCTACACAAGGTAATGCTTTCACAAGGTATCATTTTAAGGTTTGAGCCATCAAATGTCTGAATTGGTCTTAAGTTTGTTCACTTAAGTGAACGTGAGAGATATTCAATTTTCAAATTCGGCTTGGTTGTCTTCCTAACTCTTGTCAAAGTACGTTTCTCTACGAATGTGGAGAGCCCGCATGTGGAAGAAAGTCGTGTTGAACGATTGATATTAATACAATACCTTCGGGGAACTCCTGTTGTTGTAGGTTCTACGACCATTTTTGTTGCGTCGGCTCAAGTCGGACGTGGAACGTGGGTTGCCTCCAAAGAAGGAGACAATTTTGAAGGTCGGAATGTCTCAAATGCAGAAGACGTACTACCGTGCCCTCTTGCAGAAAGACATAGATGCAGTGAACACTGGTGGCGAGCGCAAGCGACTTCTCAATATAGCTATGCAGCTTCGTAAATGCTGCAACCATCCTTACCTTTTTCAAGGAGCCGAGCCGGGGCCACCGTATACCACTGGCGATCATCTTGTCGAGAATGCAGGTGGGACTCTGAGCTCACATGTTTTCTTTAGTGCAATATTACCATTCCCTTACCTTGGTACCGCGGGCATTTGGGAATTTCTCTTACGTGGTTTGGTCATAGGAGAAGTGCTGTAGATTTAAGAGTTTGCTTTCACATGTCAGCCCTCTTATATCGCGGAAGCAGATGACGATCGGTCTGTTTAATTTCTGTGGTATGTGTAGCCGCTCAAAACCATATATATATTTTAACAATTTATATGATTGCAGTCTGCCTAAAACATCATAAGTACACGATCCTCATGAATCTCTTCAGGTTTAAGCCTTCGTAGTCGCAGACATGCTGGTATGTTGATATTTCAAACAGGCGGGAGGCGTGGTTTCATTTCTTAGACCTAAAATGTTTTTCCCACCATTTTGTAGGCAAGATGGTTCTGCTGGACAAGCTCTTACCAAAGCTGAAATTTCGTGATTCTCGAGTACTTATATTTTCACAGGTGAATTTCTTTGATTTTACTGGAAGAACCTTGGTTTCTTTGAGTTTTTGTGGAGAGATATGTTTTATTTGTGACGTAAATCCTACTAGTGTCTGGCTGGTTCATGACATTTGTTAAGATGGCAATTGAAAATGTGAAACAAATTACTTCTGACCTACTGATCTTGTCGCTCAGATGACAAGGCTTCTCGATATTCTCGAAGACTACTGTCAGTATCGTGGGTATTTGTACTGTCGGATTGATGGTAACACAACTGGAGAAGACCGGGAGAGTGCTATTGACTCTTTCAATGTTGAAAATAGCGAAAAGTTCATTTTCTTGCTCTCTACAAGAGCTGGTGGATTGGGTATCAATCTCGCTACGGCTGATACAGTTATTTTGTACGACAGTGATTGGTATGTTCTCGAACTGGAACTGGATATGGTTACTTCATCCAATGTTTCGGCACAAAGTAATCTCATTCTCAGCAAAGCACCTAGTATAGTGTCTATGGTTTAGGATGTAATATTCTGCTCTCCGAGCACTACAAGCCCCGGAGGGGCTGTCAATATCTCTGCTAAGGTGATGTATCCACGTTACCAATGCATCGTTTCTGCATGACCTGCATCGTCATCGTTCAACCATATCCTATACTCTCATTATACGGACGAAGTCAATTCTAAAGTTGTTTAACCTAAAACCTGTGCTCTAATGCTGTTTTGTTGCAGGAATCCGCAAGTTGATTTACAGGCCCAGGATCGTGCTCATCGTATTGGACAGAAGAAGGAAGTACAAGTTTTTCGGTTTTGTACCGAGGTAAGTGTCTTACGATCTTTGTAGCGAGAATTTTTTGTGAGGCATTTCTGTTACTCTCCCACTGTTCAGTGGCAGTATGCCTATTACCATGATTTGCTTCCTGCCTGAGTGTTTCATCTGTGATACTGTCAGTTTACCATCGAGGAAAAAGTTATAGAGAGAGCATACAAGAAACTTGCGCTGGATGCCCTCGTCATCCAGCAAGGCCGGCTTGCAGAGCAGAAAGGTAGGTTCTCCCGTCATTTTCTCATATTTCGCTAGGTACTGCAGAGGCTTTTTCTGAGTTTCTATGTAGAATTGTTTCTTATGTCTGACGGGAGGTTGGATTGCAGCGGTAAATAAGGATGAACTGCTTCAGATGGTTCGATTTGGAGCTGAGAAGGTCTTTAGCTCCAAGGACAGTACCATCACAGACGAGGATATTGACCGCATCATTGCGAAGGGAGAGGAAGCCACGGCTGAGTTGGATGCGAAAATGAAGAAATTTACTGAAGATGCCATCAAGTTCAAGATGGATGATAGTAAGAATTTTTGTTTGCTCGGGCGGATATTTTCCTCACTTTTTAACGCACGATGCTTGATTGTTCGTGACTTCTGTTTTGAGTAGAACGAAACGACTCTAATTGTTGTAAGTACTTTTTTTTTCCCATGATACCATTCTCCTTGACGGAAAATCGTAACTGTTTTTACAGCCGCAGGCCTCTACGATTTCGATGACAAAGATGATAAGGTGCATTTCACCAGCCATTCTGTACATAGTTAAAAATATTTTCTATTCACATCTAACTACAAGTACAAGTGTTGGTTTTGAGGTATCTCATCTGGATTTTTTTTTTGTACAGACGTAACCAGGATATAATTGAGCACCTGTCGCATAATTTAACCACCTGTTGACATCCTTTTGTGGAACTTGTAGGATGAGGGCAAGGTGGACTTGAAGAGAATGATTGCTGAGAACTGGATAGAGCCACCCAGGCGTGAACGTAAACGAAAGTAGGTTACACAGATATCCTGCCATGTTTTGGTCTACTCGATCGTCTAGCAATTCGAAACGAGAACTGATTCGTCAGTTAAAAAGTTCTATTGTTCATTACGATATCATGGTTTTCAATTTGTTGATCGCTTTCACTATATCAGTTCAATGCCTAGAAAACTCTCGTCTCATTCACTCAGTTGTTTTCTTTTAGCTTAAGAAACTCCGATTTGCTGTTCTCCAATATATCGGACTTTGCCACCAACTGCTCTATCCTCGAAGAAGATTTTCGTGCATTTTAGTTCGTGGCACCAGTTGGCATGGCTGTGGCCCTATGAGTAGCTCAGTGCCGAGGACTTTTATTATGCGATCCTACGCCTGTTCATAAATTCTACTGTTTAATTCTCTCTTCATATTTCTCTGCACAGCTACTCGGAAACAGAGTACTTCAAGCAAGCGATGCGCGCAGGAACTGTTACTAAACCAAGGGAGCCTCGAATTCCCCGAATGCCTCAACTGTATCCTTATTTTTCTCAAAATTTGAAAGTTTTTGTGTGTTGGAAATTTAGTTTAGGAACGTAACACAAAAGGGAACGAAGTTAATACAAGCGTTATCAAAGCGTCCAACATGTGACATTTCTGCCAAATCTATACAAGTTTCAAATGACAGTTTGAGTATTTTTTCCTTTTTTGTTTGCAAGTGACTATCCTTAACGAAGAAAAACAGGCATGATTTCCAATTTTTCAACAACACTCGTCTGACTGAACTCTATGAGAAGGAAGTGAGATCTCTTCTGGTAAGTTTTCTAATTTAGAGTCTCAAGTATTTTCACTTGCGTGTCAATCATGGTCGTCGAAGACCGTGGACACTTCTGTCACTCATTGAATGTTTTAAGATTATAGCGACCTCTGTTCAAATTTATTTATGTCACATACTTCTCCTGGATCGCAGGGCTTTTGATCTTATATGTCAGATGTTACCGGCTGATCATATGTTAGTTCAGTTCTGTAACTCTGAAATTTGTTGCTTGTGTGTGGTGAACAGCAAGCTCATCAAAGGTCGGTCGGAGAAGATGTAATTGCCATTGATGCCGGTGAGTTGCAGTGCTTAACCTGGCCTTTTCTTTTAACATCTGATATATAGGACTACTATGTACGTTCATGTTTGGACTTTTTTAGTCTGCAGCTTTTCCCGCCCGTCTGGATTGTGATTAAAGCATGTCACATGCTTGCAGACACTGCTGTAGCGGAACAACTAACTGAGAAGGAGCAGGAAGAGAAGGATCGTCTGCTTGAGGAGGTATGATGCGTATGCGACTGTAGAACTTATTATCATTAAGATAAGTCTTGCTTTATCATGCCTTAGGGTTGAGGGCAGAATGTCCTCTTCCTGGATGGATAAGAACAGAGGATTTGAATGATTGTATATGTCATTATCGTAAAGTCCTCCGTAAAGTCCTCCGTAGCATTTTTGTTTTACAGACGAGTGCTGGTTATGCTTTACTACTTTGTTCAAAGAATTTGTTTTGCTCATGGAGGGTTAATGCACTCGCCCATTAACCACGTACTTTTTCTCCTTCAAAACAGGGCTTTTCCAACTGGACACGTCGTGACTTCAATGCGTTTGTTCGAGCTTGTGAGAAATATGGGCGCAATGACATCAGAAGTATAGCAAGCGAGATCGAAGGAAAGAGTGAAGACGATATCAGCAGATACTCAAAGATATTTTGGGAAAGATACAAGGATTTGAATGGTACGTTGGCTTTTGCTGGTTTCAGTAAACCGATTCAGCGCTCAGAATCATGTCTATATTTGACACTGAATGACATAATTACAACTAAGGATTTTTACCTTTAACTTACATGTTCATTGTGATGTTAGCACCGAAGTCTAGACGAATTAGCCTTGACCCATGGATTTAATCTCCCTGGTCATCTGTCGAAGTCAACAGTGACTGGTCCAATCGACTGTGAAGTTCTTCATTGAGTTCTTTTCCCAAGTTACCTCTATCCTTTGTTTGAGAAACTTGTGTCCATCTCTTCGTTCTCCAGATTATGATCGGATAATCAAGAACATCGAAAGAGGCGAGGCTAGGATCTCGCGGAAGGACGAGATAATGAAGTCCATTGGGAAGAAATTAGATCGATATCGAAATCCATGGCTGGAACTGAAAATCCAGTATGGACAGAACAAAGGGAAGCTGTATAACGAGGAGTGTGACCGCTTTTTGGTATGTTTCCGAATCAGGTTTTGATGTCGATATACATAGAATGGATTCACAACTAGGCATTTATGCATGCGCAAAATTTCATTACCAACGTTGATTGGTGCTTGCTTATATCTCCTAATGAGTTTTTTTTGGTCGTTTTCTTCTACAGCTTTGTATGGTGCACAGACTTGGATATGGTAACTGGGATGAGTTGAAGGCCGCTTTCCGCATGTCACCGTTGTTCAGATTCGATTGGTTTGTAAAATCTAGAACTGCCTCAGAGTTAGCCAGACGATGTGACACTCTGATACGGTTAGTTGAGCGTGAGAACCAAGAGTTGGATGAGAAGGAGCGCCAAGCGCGAAAAGACCAAAAGAAGCTTGCCAAAGTAAGTCGTTTGGGAATCGTATCTCACCCGTCTTAGGTGTTCAGAAATCTCAAGTTGGTTTCAAGTAGTCTCACTTTAAGGTTTGAACGGTACGAGGAGTGTCGATGGGGAAGACATATCATCAACGCTATTGCATACGTAGGAGGAAGAAATAAATACGGCCATCAAGTCCACCGAGCCTAGGGGGACATGGGACAGAGAATGTAAATCTGAAGGAATCGAGAATAAATTGCTGGTTAATACGTCCAGGGAACGTGGTATAGATGTGTAATGTTTCTACCCGAGTGCAATGTGAACTTGATGGGGCTGATAGTGAGAAAAATTTTCAGTAGGATATGCATGAATATTGTGGTATCGAGGTCTTTCTCAGATATCCTGTTTCTCTTTTATCTCGATGTAGAGTAACGCATCACCTGGGAGACGGGCATGGTCTGTTGAGAAGGAGGGCACCAGTGGGTCTGCCCCGAGAAAGGGCAAACAAGCAAGCTTAGAAAGCTTCATGACTGGTTCAGCGGTACGTCATTTTGTCTGTCTTTTCGAAATGTATGTCTTAGGCTTATGATACTGCAGGAGGGACCTCGTTGAATCTTCCTCTCTTACATTCGCTTCTGCTTCTCTCGTTTGATTGAAGTCGATGTTATCATATGTAACTCGTAAGACCTTTAGATCGGAACTCCTCGATGCTGCTATACCTCGTTCTTCTTAGCTTACGGAAAGCCTCGCTGGTTTTGCAGGCAAAGAAACGGTCACGAGGTTAGGTCACGTCTGTCTCCTGCCAGGCATCTGCAGTAGATTGCGATCCACTTGTATCCCAGCTCATCGTGGATCACATCGAGTCACGACGATTGTTTTCTAGTTCGTCACAGTTGGGTGGGTTGTGACAAAGAACACTCCGAAGTTGAACCAGGTTCCCATGTAACCTTCGATGAGCAAACAGTCCACGAGGTGAACAGATCTAAAACAGGTACTAGTGTAGAGCGAAAATTTTCCGAGGCACGTAGTCTTTGTAGATATTAGAGCTAGCACAAGGGTATCTTCTATCCAAGCCCTCAGACTTGAAGGGCTCCTCATTATTTATGTACAATAAAGAGCATTGTCGGAAACTGAACGATATTTTCCACCCTTTCTATCGATTTTGTATTCGCCTACACGACAGCATCTTTTTTTCGTCTCTCTAGGAAGCAGCTTTGTCCGCGTGGTCATTATACACGTGATTGGTTATCCGTTGCGATACTTGGTAGTATTGCATATCGTCCAGTAATAAGCGGAATGGGTTAGATCACCCGAGACATCTCGAAATAGGTCTTCAATTTAACCCGTCATCTGACATCGAGGTCGTTTGAGATGGACACGGGGAAATAGGAGGTGACCGAGGTTCGGGTTACCTGTCCATGTGCAGTAGAAATCCTTCTGGTGATTGGGGACCGCTCAAAGCAGTGACAGCTGAAGACTGCTGGATAGTTTACTTTGGGTAATGGGTTAAGTTGAGTGTCTGTTCTGTGAATGTCAGGTGACTGCATTGGTTGCCAACTCCGAATGATGTGGAATTTAAGGCTTTAACCGGAACTAACGTCTTGTGCATGCAACCATGGAATTGTGAGGAACAGACGAAGCCTTACCGCCACTGAGAAATTTCACGTTTAGGAAGCTGTTTGCTGGAACAGTTCGACAACGAGATAGAAACTCACCAGAGTCAAACGTAATCCAGCTTAACTGACGGTGTGGCTCCATGTTTGGCTCTTCAGATATTTATTTTATCATTTGGATCACATACCTCTTGGTAATACTCTTAGGTTGGGTGTCTGTTCCTTTGATCCATGATCCAGGTTTGATCAAGGTTTGTTCTTAGGTCAAGGTTTGTGGTCGAGGGTGACGGCTAACGCATTGGTCATGAATGTTTTTCCAAGTCACCGTGTGAGTCTTGTCGAACCCTAAACTCATGACTTCAGGTAACCTGCGTGATTCTTTTGATCCACACTGCTCAGCGGTTCTTCAATCTCTCATGTTGATTTACTTTGACTTGGGTTTCAATTTCTTATTACTCATGTTGAGGACTTTTCTTTGGAAAGGTTTATATATTTCTAAAGGCTGGCACATCCAATGCTAGTACTGTAGTAAGCTCCCGAGTGCGTTCACCTTTCTGTTTCAAAATTGTAAAATATTCTAGCTACTAAATCCATTTGCCACTTAAGGTATGTCGATTATTTGTTTGTTTCATGCATAACTATCATATGATGAGTTTCATCTATTCCATATTTATTTAGCATAATACATTTACAAAATTTTTAGTTTAATATTGCTTTGTAATCTTTATGAGAGATTTGCTTGATGGGATCCCTGTGGAAAGAAATTTGCTTGATGGGACCCTTCAGGTTTCATTTTACCCAATGGGACCCCATGAACGATGCACCGTCACTCATGTTCTAATAGCAACTAGAGAGAGTGCAACGAGTCCACCGCACCGCAGACAGAGTGGACTTCGCACTCCATCACACTCATTTGTTTTTATGTTGTCATTTTGTATCCGGCCAGTCTCCAAGGAGACGAGCAAAGAAATGTTCATCCGGAGTTTATTTGTTCGTCACAAATGGGTGATCGTGAGACTTGAGCAGAGTTACGTAAGGAGTGTGCAGGTGGGAGGCAACAGAGAAATCCGCGAATCTTTGCGGTGGGAAGAATTGAAACACAATAAATTGTATTTAGAGCAAAATCGATCTTTGTCCCCGTGATAATACACCAGAAATTATAATCAAGGATTGATCTCTGATAGTAATTCCCGCATTGAAACTAGTAGTAATCGTAGTTACAAGAACTATGTCTGACGGTGTGTCGTCGGACATAGTTCTTGTAATTATGTAATTCTGATTGTAATTACCCGATGGGACCCCAATTGAGTTAATTTAGTTTTACTCGATTGGGATCCCATCGGTTAAAACTAAATCTGAGGGCTCTCATCAAGCAAATTACTTTCCGCAGGGTCCAATCAAACAAATTTCTCTAATCTTTATAGAATCGATTGGTTTGTTTTCAATCTTGCCATGTTTTTTGTTATTAAATATTTTGCATTTCGTTGAAAATGACTCCCTTGCAACATCTTGCATTACAAAGTTGTATAGTCATATTTATGGGAGAATCATTTGAAAACGATTTCATGGGAGAGTTGATTACAATATATACACTCGCTGAAGTCCACAACTTGATCTGGTAAGTTTGTTGCCGACCTAAGGAATATTAGGGGCATCCCATATAATAGTAAAGTTAAATACACTAGAAACACAATTTTGAGTTTATTTGCAATCATGAACGTACGTGTGTTGAAACTCAAAAACCAGGATCAACATCTGAATGACAGTCAAAGAATAGGATTTATCGTTGTCTTGGAACAATCCAAACCGTCGACTAATCGAAGCATTGCTCTCCAATACGGTGTCGACAAGAAGGTTATTCAAGAATTGAAAGCAAGCAAAGATGAGATTCGCGAATGAGTCCAGAGGGTTGGCCATGCCACTCATGAATCCACACTTTGCGTTTCTCATTCATTGTTTCCTAACCTTGAGAAACTACTGTACGAATGGATTGATGTTGGATGCCAAATGTCGCTTGTTTTGCCGCACAGTCTCATTTGCCACAAAGCAAAACAAATTGTCAAGGCTATGGAGATAGATGATGATAAATTCAAGGCTTCCTTGGGATGGTTTTTGAGATTCTTTCATCGGTTTGGTTTAAGCAGCATAAACTTGTCTGGTGAAGTTGATGAGGTTGACAAAAATATTCATGAAACTCTATGAGCTTTGGATGAGTTATGTGCAATTATCAACCAGTATGATCCAACTTGCATGTACAATATGGACAAAACTGGATTGTTCTTTTGACTTGTTCCAAGTTACATCGTCTTGATGCCAAATGAAGATGCGTCAACAGTCCGAGGCAAGAAAAAAAACAAAAGACCGCATGACACTTGTGGTTTGTTGCAACGCCACAGGGACTGAACGAGTTCCAATCACCATGATTGGTAAAACGAAGGAGCCCGCACGTATTTCAGGCAACATCTGGTCAATTCTGCCCAATTTCGTATTTTCAGCAAAAGAACGCATGGATTGACATGCCGACGTTCAACAAGTGATTCGATGAAGTTTTGAGCCATATGTTCGCAAAAGTACTGGTCACAAGGTTCTCTTAATACTTGATAACGCTCCTGCTAACTCATTTGCATGATGAATGAGCAAGAGCAGTACAAAGAAATGATAGCCTGTGACAATAATCCACAAAGTTTGAAGTATTAACTGGCAATAGCTGCATAGAAGTTGAAGCGGGGCGATGCATGGGTGTTTTATGCACATACTCCACATTTGTTGGATGCTGCAAACTTAAGTAACATTGCCTGGAACAAAATTTCCGCTCAGAGTTTGAGAAACTACTTAAAAAAGGCAGATATTATTTATGCATTTCAAAATGTTGATCTTGGCAACAAAAATAACAAACTGTGGACGAAATTGCTAGTTTGCTCAGCAATTGTGATCTCTTGAGTGACAATCGCGATATCAACATTTGGGGTGAGATTGAACAATGTCTGATCGATGACAACGATGACTAAGAGCTGTTCAAAAACACTCTTCTTGAAGAGATCGAACAAGCAATGGATGCAATCTTTGTTCAAGAGCTTGTCATCGAATCCGAAAACGATGAAGCCGAACCAACCTCGGCTCACTATGATATTGATCAGCGCGATGTTATCCTTCAGTCTTTAGAGAGTGCAATCAGCTCCAACGTCAATATGAGTGAGCTGAAATCTTTGCAATATTTGTCATCAGACCATATAAATTAAGCCAAGGCGACACTATTTACCCTCCGCAGCATTTTACAAACCGGCCTATTCGCGATAGTTTGGGATCGAATTGAAAATAGCCGCCAAATGACTCTATTTGATTTTCTATAAAATACACTCTTGAAAATATTGATCAAGGAATTTTGCGTTATGAAATGCGGACTTAATTGGGATGCGAACTTAAGTGAGGAAATGGTAAATGGTAATAGATCAAGCCCTGGAGACCCAAAGGGTCAAAAGGCTGAAAAAAACAATACAAGCGACAGTCACAAACAAGGAAAAAGACCTTAAAGGCCAATCCCTAGCTAGTGCCAAGAGCACTAGAACGATAACTAATAATGTGCATAATATAACAACCTAAATCAAAAGGAACCAACTGTAACAAAGAATAAAAATTCTCTACATCTATATTATGAGTCACTCTAATCTCTGTATATCTAGTACAAGTAAGAAATACATGCTCTTCATCCTCAACTTCTCTTCCATCACATAGCATACAAATACGTTCACTCCTATCAATATTAAGCCAACGTCCTTCTTCAATTCCAAGCCTATGAGATCCAGTTCTATGCCTAGCAAAAATATGACGTAAGGATGTAGAGATTCCTGCAAGTAGGTAATTCTGTTCACAATAAACAAGCATAGGATTCACATGAAATTGATAAAAATGCATCTTGGTGCCGCGCTTGCTCCAAATAATGTTCAGAAACTCCTCCTTTAGACGTTCACGTAGTGCTATAGGTTGTAGGTCCCAATCGCATTCCGTCACATTTCACCTCAAAGACCAAGTTATCACATCCGCTAACCATCCTTTGGCACGTGTGGCACTCAAAGCTTGAGGAGTAAGGCGAGAAGCATCAAGAGATCTCACTCTTCTGATGTAAGTGATGGTCAAGTATAGAGCTTTAGCCTCTAGAGGTAAACAACCTGTTTCCGCAAGAAGAATATCATATGAGGTTTGGTTTCTCACACCCAATTCTTCTTGTAGAAATATCTTCTGCACCCTCTCCACACGCTCCCAACCTGTCTTCTTACAACCAGGATCCCACACTTGAGTTCCATACAATACTACTGGCAACACTAAGCTTCTGAATAAAAATTTCCTAAGACTCCAAAACACAAGATGAGCCCTTCTACACCGATTTAGCAATGAATATAGAGCTTTGTAACCATATTCTACTCTCTTTTGCACAGAAAGTGCCCAACTATAATCATTAGAAAAATCAATGCCTAGATATTTATAACTCTTCACCTCTTCTAATTGTAGATCCTGGTAATGGA